GCCCACGATGGCCTCCCCGTCGATGCGCTTGCCGCCGATGGAGACGGCGCCACTGCCCAGGCCCAACCCTTCCCCGCGCCGGCTCTCCGGGCGCGGATGCCTGGCCGAGCTGTGCCCCCCCCCCCCTCCTCTTGGCCGGGGGCTCGCGCTGCTCGCCCGCCCTCCTCCTCCCTGCCCCTCCCCTCGCCTCGCCTCGTCCTCATCCAGCGCCCGCCGCCCCCTCTCTTTCCCTCGAGGGGGAGGAGGAGGAGGAAAAGAAGGAGGAGGAGGACGAGGAGGAGGAGGGGGAGAAGGAGGAGGAGGAGGAGGAGGAGGAGGAGGAGGAGAAGGAGGAGGAGGAGGAGGACTCTCTCTTGCCCTCAGCGCTTCCTCACCCCATCCGCAGCCCTCTCCATCCGGCCGTCGCGCAGAGCCCCGTCCCCCCCCATGATGTGCGTAATTAGGTGCCCGTGTGGTCGACCCTGCTGCTGCGAGAAGCTCCCGCTCTCCAGAGGACCCCGGCGCCCCCGCCCCCCCCCCGGGGGGGGGGACGCAGGCCGCGCGGCGGAGGCGCTCCCTGCGCCCTGCGCAGGAGTTCCCGCTCCCGGGTCGGGCCACGCGCGTGCCAGGGCTCATGCACAGAGAGCTGCAGCACGCACGCGTCGCAGAAGGTGGAGGACAGGGGGAGCATGAAGCCGCTTCGGAGGGGGTGGGGAAAGGGGAAAGAAGAAGCAAGGAGGAGAACAATGACCACCAGTTGGCCGTTAGGAATGCGATTGAATAGCGATGTCGCAGTCGAGCGCAGGTGGGGTTGGCACACCTTGCGATGAGCGTCACGCAAAAAGTGCTCCACACCTGGCGGTTGCAACAGCCGGCGATCTCCCGAGTCAATATTTGGAGTATGCTTCTAGCGAAACTGTTTGTTTTGGATATTCCGATGCTGACTTTAATTACGTCTAATCTCATGTTTGGACGATGTCTCATGCGAAATTGTCATCCGTCTGATAGGAATCTCCCAAATCATTCAAAACCACACTGTACTTCATGGATGCATGTTCGAAGGTGGAGAATTTACGTCTGTTTTGTTGGACCCTGACGTCGCGATCTGCGTGAGTGGCACGTCGGGCCTTCAAATATTTGAGGGTGTCCCAGGCGAGACGGCCCGACAACTCGCTCACGGGACGAAGCAATTCGCCCCTGAGCTCTACTCATTTGTAGAGTCGCGTGCAAGAATATATGGTGCATGCTCTAGCTCCCACGCACGTTGCAGCGATTGAAGTCTGAGACCGAAACGCACCCCGTCCCTAAAGTCGGGCCTGTCCCACTACAGGGGGATTTTCGACGACAAATAAAACATACTCCAACAATAATCAAAAAAAAACATAGTACAGGGACCATTTGTTTATTATGTGTTGGATCTTTTGGGGGTATTTTTGGTGTATTTTTCCATCGAAAATCCACCTGTAGGGGGACAGGCCCGACTTAACCCTTCCCCCGCCTGGAATGGGGCAACCTGAATGTCTTGGGGTGCCTGCGACACACAGCAGAGGCACCACCTTCGTGCTCCCGAGGCCACAAATCCCCCGCAGCGTGCGCGCCCCCCGCGGCCACACCCCCGCATCAATCACAACAGATTCGCGTTCCCGGGGACACTTTCTTCTATTCGTATATAATATATGTATGCATGTATGTATGTATGTCTGCATGCATGCATGCATGCATGCATGTATGTATGTATGCATGCATGTATGTGTGTGTGTATGTGTGTGTATGTATGTATGTGTATGCATGCATGCATGCATGCATGCATGTATGTATGCATGTATGTATGTATGTATGTCTGCCTGTCTGTATGTTTGTATGTATGTTTGTATGCATGTCTGTATGTGTATGTTTGCATGCATGTATGTATGTATGTCTGTATGTATGCATACATGCATGCATGCATGCATGCATGCATGTATGTATGTATGCATGTATATATGTATATATGTATGTATGTGTGAATGTATGTATGTCTGTATGTCTGTCTGTCTGTATGTATGTATGTACTCATGTATATACACACAAAACAGAGAGGTCGCCCCGTGGCTAAAGAAAAAAACAGAAAGCAGAAGAGGAGGGAGAGGGGACGCAGGAGCGGCATGGCGCGCCCGCGCTCCCGAAGCAACGACGCACGACTCGATTGCGACAGGAACTCGGGCCTCTGAGGCCACAGACCACAGCCGAGCACACACGGCACCGCGCCGCCGAGGCCACGGCCCCGTGCAGCTCACGGCGCTCCTCGCGCCCGCGAGGCCACGAGCCTGCCCTGGCCATCGCTCGGACGTCCATCCACTGTGCTTTTTTCGGTTTCGTGCGTGGTTTTTTCGCCAAATGATCAAGGATGCTCCTCGATGGCCCTCGCCGAGAAAAAATGCACACGTCCGAGCGATGCCAGGTGCCCCGCGGAGGCCGCCCGAGAGCGCCGGCCCCTCTCCGGAGCAGGACGCGCTGCCGCCTGCAAGACGATGTGGGAGTGCGCTCGGCGGGCGCTGCTCGGACCCGCCCGGCGGCTCCCGAGAGTTCGGCCCTGGGCCCCAGGACGCATCACATGATATTTTGTTATATATACACACATATGGACGGCCCGCCCCCCACATGATCATGCATGTTTGACTCCACCGCGGCCGCCGACCGAGCACTTCCAGCATGGCAGCGAAAGCCAAATCCCCCACACCACGCGTGCCCGCTCGAGGATGGTGCACTTCCCGCATGGCAGCTAGTGCCAGAACCCCTCCTTCCATGCGCGCCCGCTCGATGACGGTGCACTTCCCGCATGGCAGCTGACGCCCGAAGCCTCCTTTCACGTGCGCCTGCTCGAGGATTGTGCACTTCCCGAAGGGCAGCTAACGCCTGAACCCTCATTTCACGTGCGCATGCTCGAGGACTGTGCCCTTCCTGTATGGCTCCTGGCTAAGAGACCCCTCATCCCACGCGTACCCGCTCGAGGATCGCGCAAAATTCCCGCAGTCCCAGGCGCTGCTCCCAAGCGCTCCCGGGCCTCCTACGCCACGATGCCTCGTTTAAAGCATTTCTTCTGCGCCCCGAGCTTACAAGACGGCCCGTGCGGGCAACCAAGGACACCACGATGGCCCAAGATGCTTGAAGACGGCCCAAGATGGCCCACAGGCGGCCGAATACTTATTCAAGACAGCTCAAGATGCCTCCACGAGGGCCCAAACATGGCCACAAAAGGACCTCCAACAGGGTCAGAATGGGCCAGGAGCATTGGGTTCCCCTGGGTACTTGAACGATGTTCGCATTCTCGGCTTTTGCGGCTGCCGTCAGCTCAAGACGGCCCAAAAGGACTCCACGATGGCCACAGAGGCATCAACACGGCCCAAGACTGGTCAAGAGGGCCTCCCGTGGGACCAAAGACGGCCGGAGAAAGGCCTTCGACGGCCCAAGACATCGCCAACACGGCCCACGACGGCACCAGACACCCACCATACAGCCAAGAGGGCCCAAAGACGGCCCAAGACAGCCCCAAGCCAGTGCAATAGGGCTCCAAGACGGCCAAAGAGGGCCCCAAGGGACCTCCAAGACTGCCTCACAGGAGGCCAGCAAGGCCCCAAGACGGCCCAAACGAGTTTCACGTCCTCCTCCTCCTCCTCCTCCTCATCCTCATCTTCCGTCTCCTCCTCCTCCTCATCATCATTACCACCATCACCAGCAACGTCATCATCATCATCATCATCCTCCTCCTCATCATCATCATCAGCATCATCATCATAAGCATCATTATCATCATCATCACCACCACCACCATCATCATCATCTTCGTCATCATCATCATCATCATCATCATCATCATCATCATCATCATCATCATCATTAGCAGCAGCATCAGCATCAGCATCAGCATCAGCATCAGCATCAGCATCAGCATCATCATCATCATCATCATCTTCATCTTCGTCATCATCATCATCAACAGCATCATCATCGCCATCATCATCATCACCATCAGCAGCAGCCGCAGCATCATCAACATCAGCAACGTCATCATCGTCGTCATCATCAGCATTATCATAATAATCATCATCATCTTCGTCATCGTCATCATCATCATCATCATCATCATCAACAGCATCATCATCGCCATCATCATCATCACCATCAGCAGCAGCCGCAGCAGCATCAACATCAGCAACGTCATCATCGTCGTCATCATCAGCATTATCATGATAATCATCATCATCCTTATCATTATCATCAGCAGCATCATCATCAAAACTCTGATCATAATCATCATGGCTTACCCGATCCTGGAGACACGAGGCGTCACACGTGGCGGCCTCCAGTGCCCCCTCGAACAGTCGCCACCCAGAATGCTGGGCTGGCACGGTGGCGGGACTTGCCGCATGCAGCTGAATAAAACATACGACAGATTCGTGTGGTCTGAGAGCCACAACCCCTGTGCAAACTACAGCGCAGTCGCACCACCGACGCCGGGCCACGAAATTAGTTGTAACTAGCCTCGGGAGCACGAGCGTGCTGTAATACATTTGCACGGGGCTGAAGCCTCCGGAGCGCGAACATGTTGTATCTTCTGGGCTCGCCGCGCTCCCCGAGCCACAACCCGCGGCAAAGTACAGCGGGGTGGTGGTGTGTGTGCGTGCCGAGGACACCACCCCGCAGCAGAACAAAGGAGCCGCGCGCTCCCGCGGCCGCTATTTCCCTGGCAGGTCACAAAACGCGCTCGCGCTCCCGAGACCACAGAAACCACGAGCGCCAGCCCCTCTCGGGAGCAGAAAGCTGTCATTCGCTGTGTGGGGATACGTGTTCGGGAAGCGTTTTTCGGCCCCCGTTCCTCCTCCTTCTCCTCCTCCTCCTCCTCCTCCTCCTCCGCCTCCGCCTCCGGCTCCTCCTCCTTCTCCTCCTTCTCCTCCTCCTCCTCCTCCGTCGCGTCCTGAGAATTCGGATCTGGATCTGAGGCCACGAGTCTTCAAAAATAGCTAGGGGTGCGGACTCCCGAAGCCGCGAGCGCCCGTGGATGACGAAGGAAAAGCGCGCTCCCGAGGCCGCCACCCCGAATTCATTGCTGCAGGCGCGCGCAGTCAGTCAGCCAGCAAAAAAAAAGAGGTCCCAAAGCAGCGGCCAACAAAAATTTAGGCAAGAACCCAATCCGCCGAATTGCCAGCCAACCGACCCAAAAAAGACCAACCTGCCTACCAATCAAGCGTACGCGGATGAGGATCCGGCAGCAGAGGGCGACACCCTTGATACACATACCGTGGACCCCCCCCCACCGGCCATCACTGTACATAGTCATTTTTCGAAATGCCACCCATCAACTCTCGCACCCTGCCTTTCCCGAATTTTGCCGCGGGTTTCCTTCTTCTGTGTGAAGAAACCGGCGTGTGTGACGTGTGAATTTCAGAAGCGGCCCTCGGAATTTCTCGGGTTGCCCCACCGCCAGGTTGCCGGGCGTCCCACCTGAATGCTACGGGTTGCCCAGCTGCTCGGTTGCCCGGTTGCCCAGGTTGCCCGGTTGTCACGCCAAGCAACGCCAAACAATGCCAAGCAACGATTCCCAGCAATTCCGATCAAGGCCGAGCAACCCCAAGCAATGCCAAGCACGGCCAAGCGATTCCAAGCAATGCCAAGCAAGGCCACGCACGACCACGCAGAGCCGGGCAACGCTCTTCACTGCATTGGCATGCACTGCTCAGAACTGGGCCGAATTGCCTCGAGGGGTCTGCGCGAGGCTGGCGGGCGTGCAGGACAAAGGCACCCAACCCAATCGGCAGAGGCCCGAAACGTGCGAAGGCGTGCAGGGGTGCACAGGTTGGCGGCGCGCACAAGGGGGGCAGTGGGAGGAGGGAAGGCCTCTTCGAAGGAGGCTGCTTCTTGGAAAGCGCCGGCCCTGCACCTATAGAGAAGGCCCGCGCCGTATAAGAAGCAGGGGTGCTTCTAAGGAGCCTTCCCCCCTCCCCCCACCCCCCCTCTGCGCGTACGGCGTAGCCGACAGACACACAAGAGAAACTATAACCCTTCGGGGCACGCCTTCGCTCGCTGCCCCCCGCCTGCCTCGGCGGCCCCATCCCCGCTGGAGCCGCCCGCCCGCGGTGCCTGTCGTAGGCGTCCTGGACCTCCTGCGGGAGGCACCACGTTCGTTCCGTCCCTGCTCCCGCGATCACTGGCCGAGCCAGGGCGCCCCCGCCCCCCTGCAGGGCCGCGACTCCCGTCATCCCACAGGCTCGAACAGGCACTCCGTGGCTCACGAGGGGAGAAGCAAGCTGCAGGGCGGGGGGGGGGGAGAGCTAAGGGAGAAACAGCAGCAGCAGCAGCAGCAGCAGAAGCAGCAGTAAACTAAGGTCGGGCGTGTCCCCTTACAGGCGGATTTGGGGCGACAAATTCAACAGACCCCAGCAGATATTCAAAACATAATAAACATGCCAGGAAAATCGTCCCCTGACTATTTTTAAACTATGTTTGAATACTCCTCGTGTAGAGGGACATGCCCGACTCAACCGTACGCACTGCACGCGCGCAAGCGAAGGTCGGAAGCCGTCGCCTGGCGCCCCGGCGCTGCGGGGCGCAGCCCCTGGCGCCCGGCTTCTCAGCAGCTCTGCGAGCGAGCAGAGCTCGCCTTAAGTCGGGCCTGTCCCTCTACAGCAGGAATATTCAAAAATATTCAAGAATAGTCTGGGGACAATTTTTGTGAATGTTTTTGGCGCATGTCTGGAATCTCTGTCACCCAAAATCCGCCCGTAGGGGGACATGCCCGACCTACAGCTCGCCCCTGCTCAGCCGCGCTGTCCGCCGCCGCACGCCTCGCGTTCCAACAGACGCTCGGCGGCTCCCAGACGGAAGTGGCGCGAGGGGGGCGGCCTGCGGGGCAGGGGGGGGGGACTCCGAGCAAGCAGGCGGCGCCTCAGAAACCCTCCTGGCTTCAGAGAAGCCGTGCAGAAGCCGCCCGGTCCTCCGAAGAAGGGGCCCCTGCCTCCTAAGAAGGCCCCCCAGGCCCCGCCCTCGCAGAAGACCACCCCCTTGCGCTTGCGCCACCCTCGCGTGGCCGCCAAGATCCACGCGACGATAAGACTCAGAAACATACGCGAAGGGCCACAGTTCCGGTCGTCGTTTGACTTCGCCAGGTGCCCGGAGGCACCTGCTGGCACGTCTTTGTGAGTTCGGTGTGTCCTGGGGCACGGTGAGGGGCCCCAGCAGGCCGAGAAGGACGAGACACATTCCGTCGGTTTTTGTTCAACCGCGCGAGAGCGTGTTGGCGGCGCGCAAAGGGGGGTGGCGCGAGGGGTGTGGCCGCCTAAGAAGGCAGGGGGGGTAGCTGGAAAAAAGCAGAGTCCTTCTTAGAAGGGCCCAGGGGCTTCTAAGAAGGCTTCTCAGAAGCCAGGTGGGCTTCGCAGACGCCTCCGAATGTGCCTGCCCGACGGCACCCAGAGCGTCCGTCGAGTCCCGGGCTGCGGCGCCAGGTTCGTGTCGTGACGACCTGGGCGTTGGCTTCTGACTCCGCTTGCATCGTTCAGCCTTGGAGCGGTCGCGGCTTTCCGACAGCGCCTCCAGTTTGCAGTCGCCCGATTCTGAGCCACTGGCAGCGCTCAGTCTTGAACGCCCGCGCCGGGGGTCAACGCCGCATCGACCTGGAGGACTCCAGGTAGGCTCCCCGGCGGGCCCTCATCGACATGGCCAGTGTTGCTGGCACTCGTTGTCAGAATGCGTTCCAGGAGATGTCCTAGGATCGATCGTCGTCGTCGCCGTCGCCGTCGTCGTCATCGCCGCCGTCGCCGTCGCCGTCGCCGTCGCCGTCGCCGTCGCCGTCGCCGTCGCCGTCGCCGTCGCCGTCGCCGTCGCCGTTGCCGTCGCCGTCGTCGTCGTCGTCGTCGTCGTCGTCGTCGTCGTCGTCGTCGTCGTCGTCGTCGTCGTCATCGCAAGCACGAGCACGTCGTCAGGACGGGTTCGCGGAGGTTTCTGGAGAGGGCGGATGGGGAGATAACTTGCCAAGAGGACGAGACAAGAAGACTAGGATGAGGACGTCGTCGTCACCCGTCGTCTCGTGCAGTTGTCGTCCTTCTCCTCGTTCTCACTCCCTCTTTTTGTCTTCATTGCTCCCCGTCACCCACTTCCCCCCGACCTCGTCGTCGTCGTCCTGCACATCCTCCTTCCGCATCGTCCTTCTCACTGTAACGCCGCCTCCTCCTGCGTGTCCTTCACCCTCCTCACTCTCCACCACGTTCTCCTCCTCGTCGTCGCCGTCCCCCTCCTCCTGCCCCTCCTCCACCTCCTCGTCCGCACTGACTTCCTCCTCCTCCTCCTCCTCCTCCTCACTTTCCTCCTCCTCCTCTTCTTCCTCTTCGTTTTCCTCCTCGACGCTATGCGCGGGCTCGTCGCAAATCAATGGGACACTCTTTTCCTCCTTCCCGAACACACCGCACCACGCGGGCGTCGGCGGCGACCGAAAGGGGGATGTGAAAGGAGAAGGTGCTTTCAGAAAACGGCGGGGCTCGGAAGCCCTCCGGCCTTCCGAGAAACGCTCGGTGTTCATCGGGGAACGCTCGAAAGGCAGGGAGGCTTCCGAACCTTCTGAGCACGCCCGCCCTTTCTCACTTCCCCCCCTCGCTCGCCGCCGAGGGACGCATACTCCGCGGGGCCCGAAAGAACCCTCCAGCCGCGGCGTCTCCTCCTGCAGGTTGTGCCAGGCGATCGCCCATGAGCCTCAGCGGCCGCGGCGGAGGCTCGCAGGGCCGGGGCGCTCGGAAGTTCCCCCAGGCACCTTCCAAGATAATAAGCACACCCGCCCCAAGCTCGGGGAGGAGGACGACGGAGACGACTGACTGACTGACACACTTGCGATCCACTGACTGCTACCATGGCAACGAACAAAGAAGCGGCGCCTCGAAGTAGCAGAGCTTGGATCTGTGATCGCTGCTGTGTGAGTGACTGTCTAGATCGCTCTGTAGGGGCATCAAGGGGAAACCCTCATCGGGGACGCACTGGCCCCGGTCAAAGCAGGCCCCGGCCAGTCGGGCTTTGAAGGTTCCTGCAAGATCCTGCAAGATGCCGCAAGACCCTGCACGCCAGCCCCGGCCGCTTTTGCGCCGTCAGCGTTAATTCGAGGATATATTTGTGGCGGCCAACCGTGTTGCCAGACTGTCCCGCTGCAGGGGTCGTTCGGCCGTTCGCGCCAGGGCGCCCAGCTCCGCAAATGAAAACGCTTGGGCGCGCAAACCAATGCACCCCTCCCTGGCTCTGAAGGATCCTGAACGATCCAGCTCTCTGGCGGACCCCCGCCTGCATCGACCCCCGTCCCCTGAGCATTGGGCCATCGGCCGCCCAGGCCCTACGCTGACCGTCCGGCCCGGCGTGTGCCGTGGCGTTCCACGGCGTCGGGGGCCCGGATGTCTGTCCAGGCGGGGCCCCCGAAGCCCCGGCCCTTCCCCCCGGGGGCGGCTCCTCGTCCCGAGCCCGTGCTCGCCGGTCCCCAAAGGCCCCGCGAGGGCCCCCCAGCGGCCGAAGACGGCCAAGAGCCCTCCATCGTGCCTCTTGACCCGACGCCAGCATGTCTGGGGACGAGGGCACCGACGACGACGACGACTACGACGACGACGACGACGACGACGATAACAGCGGCGGCGGCGGCAACGACGGCGACGAAGACGAAGGCGGCGGCGTGGACAAAACACAGACGGCGAGTGAGGCGTCGAGCTGGGGCGGCGACGGTCGCCACGTTTCGGCAGGTTGCCAGCCAGCGGGCTGGCCATGCTCATGCCCTTGCCGTCCGCCTCGTGCGCGGGGCCACCCGGCGGTGTTTTCGGGTTGTCCTCTGTCTCTCGCTTTATCCTTCTCCCCCCCTTTTCCCCCCCCCCTCTCTGTCTCCGTGTGCGCTGAGTATACGGAAGAGTGACCCAAGGCAAGAGTGGACTTTGGTGCGGCAGGTTCGTGTCGTGACGACCCCAGCGTTGGTTTTTGACACCGCAGGAATCGTTCAACCTTGAACGATCGGCCGCTGCCGCAACGTCCGATCGTTCAACATCGATCGATTCTGGGTCGCCGGCGGCGTTCAACCTTGAACGCCCGCGCTGGGGTCGCCGCTGGTCGACACGACGCAAACCTACCGTGCGCGGTTGTGGGGGGCCGAGGGGGCGGCCAAAGCCAAGCGCGCAAACCGCTCGCAGCTCATGCCACGATCGGGAAGCTCTGGCGGGCCCGCACGGAAGGTCACTCCAGCCGAAGGTCGCGCTGTCGCGGAGCCAGCACTCCTCCAGCTCCTCCTCCTCCTCCTCCTCCTCCTCCTCCTCCTCCTCTCCTCCTCCTCCTCCTCCCTCCCTCCTCCCCCTCCTCCTCCTCCTCCTCCTCCTCCTCCTGCTCCTTCTCCTCCTCCTCCTCCTCCTCCTCCTCCTCCTCCTCCTCCTCCTCCTCCTCCCCCTCCTCCTCCTTACCATAGGAACACTTACCATAGGAACACTCGTGCAAAGCTTCGGGTGGTGGTCGAAAGTTGTTGTTCCTGGGATTCGTGTTGGGTGTTGGTCGTTCAAGTGCTGGCACCACGACCACTGCAAACACGTGACGACGCATACTACAACCATTGCTCGAGCAGCTTCTGCTGCTGCGGTGCAAGATGCATGCAATTAGAGAAGTCGCAACCTGTAATCTGCAGGGCAGGGGGCAACCTGGGCATTTGCAAATGTTTGCGGGGCACGTGGTGACAAACCGATCTCTCACTCAGTATGCCAACCGTGTAGATGCTGCTGCTACTTACGGCTCCGCCTGCGGATGCGACTAGAGCGAGACAAGTTGCGAGACAATGTTTTGCGGTTGCCCCCGCTGCTGCTAGCACTGCATCTGCAGATCGCCTCTTTACGTTATCAGCACTTCCAGCCCCACGTCTGCTGCCCACAGTGTGCCAACAGCTCACACTTCCATCGTGCAGAAGGAACGCGATAACTGTTCTGGCCACGGCGAGCCTCGACCAGGAAGAGCTTCCCCGACCCAGAAGCTCGGGACAGGTCCGAAAACCGCAGCCCCTCCTGCGACCAAAGTGGTCCTCGTTTCAGCGTCGTGGCTGCGCTTGCCGCAACTGCTCAGCGCGCCCCATGTTTCTTTGTGTTGTTGTATATATGCTTCCCTTTTTAGGCAAAACACTTTTTTTTGCTTCTTAACAAAAAAATCACACCTTATCGAAGCTGGCGCTACAGCCATCGTGCTCAGGAGCCAGTAGCGCAGGGGCGCTCCTGGCGCCACCGCGAGCCTCGGCCACGAGCGGGCCCTCCGAAAAACCTTGCTGTACACGGAGCGGCCCCAGACACCGGGCCCCCCCCCCCCGGAGCCCGAGGCGGCCCCTGCGTGAGCGCGCACTCGACGGACGGCACAGCCGAAGCGTGCACCCGAGGACGGGCGGTGAGGACGCAAGACTCAGGTCGGGCGAAAGGGCGAGATAGCAGAGGGGGGGGTTGAGAATCAGCTCATGTAGCCGATGATCCCGGCGCCTCCCGGCGCCGGAGACGGCTGTGTATCGAGGGATGGGCCCCTCGGCGAGGCCGAAACCAGCTGCATGCAGCAAATTTCGCAACCCCCCCTTTCCCAATCCCCCCATTTCGTCCGGTCCGAAAGACCCTTGGAGGCCGAAAATGGGATTTTCATTGTGCGACGGGCGACCAGAGGCAAGGACACGAGGGCAGCCTAGATGAAGGGGCGCGTCCTTCCTGGGCGCGTTGGCTGTGCTCCTGTTGTTCCCTTCTTGGAGCGGCGCCGCAGAACGCACGTGAAGGTCTAAATCTAGATCCGCGCTATGTTCCCGAATATTCACCCCGCCAAAATCGAAGTAACTAGTAAACAATTAAGTATCACCTGACCGAATATAGCATACATTTTAGTATACAAGCAATACGACGGAAGCCAGGGAAGGGGTGTACTCCCAAGCCGCACGCAGCAAACCCGCCCATGGCCATTCTGCAGCCGCGGGTGGCGGGCTCCCTGGGGGAAGCGGGGGCAGCGAGACTGGGGGCGTCTCCCCCGCGGGGCGCGCAGAGTGGGTGCCTCGCGCGAGCATGTCAACGACTACTGTAGCGGTCGCCCCCCCGTACCCCGTCCCAGCCCCCCCGCGAGGCCGAGTTTGCGGCGTTTCAGGCCTCCTTGAACACCGCGCCTCCTTAGCTCACCCTCGCCTGGGCCGGGGCGCCCCGTCAGGGTCAGCCCCTGCTGGCGAGTCGAAGGCATGGGGCGGGGGGAGGACGCGGCCGCGTCGGCGCCGCCCCCCCGGGCCCCCTCGGCCAGGGCCTCTTCGACGTCGGCGCAGCCGGCGCCGTCGTCGGCGGGATCTTCGACGCGCTCCCCGCCGCCTCGGACTGCAGCTGCGAGGAGAACGTCGCCGCCCACTCGGTTTCTTGCGGCGTTGATCTTTTTCTGGGGAGGACCCCCGTCCTCCGTGGACGGCCCCTCCCCCAAAAATCGCCCGCACAAGAATCAGAGAACTCGATCCCCGTGAGTGGTGCGTCCACTGAGGAATTCGATTTCTTCCGAGGAAAAAAATCCGGAAAACTCCGTCCATTCGGAAAACTCCGTCCACGGAGCTCCGTGGACGGGGGCGTCCCCGAAAAATGCCGGGGCGGCCCCCCCCCCCCCGATATTTCGAGCGACCCCCGCGCCCCCGCGCCCCACCCCGCCGCCGCCCCCGAGGACGACGCGGCCGCCGAGCACACGGCGCGGGCATCCGCAGCGGCCGCCGAGGACCCGCCGCCGCCCAACTGCCCTGGGGGGCGGGAGTGGGCGGGCGAGGCGGCTGCTGGGCGGGAGGAGGACGGCGTCGCGGGCTGGTCGGGGAGAGGGTCTTGCATCCGACGATTTGGCGTCCTTGGTTACGGCAGCGAAGTGCTGTCGCCTGCATTCAGACGGGTAGGCCGCTGATGGGGAGTCGTCGGTATGGCTGCCAGGAGGTCTTGCGTTCGGGGTCACGTGTGCACTGGCTGCCTATAGGAGGTCTTGCGTTCGGGGTCACGTGTGCACTGGCTGCCTATAGGAGGTCTTGCGTTCTGGCCTATGTCTGCACTGGCTGCCTGCAGGAGGTCGTACGTTCTGGCCCGTGTCTGCACGGGGGAAGGGGCACCCACCCCGTGTGTAGGGCGGCCTCGATGATATGATAGCCCCCCGCCCTCCCCACCCCCACTCCTCTCCCTCCCGCCGTCTCCCCGCCACTCCCTCCCGCCCTCTCCCCGCCATATCGACTTCTGGCCAATGAATATTCGGTGCGTCAAGATTTGTCGTTGCTTTTCCCTCCCCCCCCGGATTCTCTGTTTTGAATGTTCGAGGATTCGAGGCGTGTTTGTAGCGAAACGATTTCCAACTGTTTCGTGGGGCCACTCAATCCATCCTGGACGTGCGCGCTCAGAAAGGCGCCGTGGTGGAGCTCTCTGCCCTGTTGAAAGCGGCAGATCTCCGCTGCCGCGGCCCTGCTGAGGCCCGCAGGAGACCCTAAGAGAGGCCACTGTCAGAACTGGTGGGACTCAGAAGTACACCAGCATTCGAAAAAGGTTCAAGGTCCTGTAATGTCAGAGCCTCTCGGCGTCGGCTGGGTTCAGGAAGGCTCCTCCTGATATGTGTCGTCGTGTTCCTTCTCCAGCTCCTGCTGCGGATCCCCTGTGCTGCTGATGGTCCTCCTCCTGAAGTTGCTGCTGCCCCTCTTATTAGGCCCCCAGGCCCCCGTTGGTTTCCGACGTCCTCTGGTCCGACCGATTACCCGCGCAACCGCAGCCTCGTTGAACAGCATGGGTAACGTCTTGCCTATGCTGTCGACGCGCATGAAACCCGTGAGCGAGTACCTGTTCATCGTCGTCATCCTCCGCCTGCTCTCCGTCCTTTTCCTTCTCAGCAGCTTCACCACCCTCTTCCTCTGCCCCTCCCACTGGCTTGACTAGACTCGCCTAGAACCTCCTGCGAACCACCTCGTGTCTCAGCTAGCCGTGTGATGTCTGTTTCCTCCTCCCTCTTCATCATGTTCCTCATCCCTCCTCCTCCTCCTCCTCCTTCTCTACCTCCTCCTCCTCCTCCTCCTCCTCCTCCTCCTCCTCCTCCTCCTCCTCCTCCTCCTCCTCGTCCCCTCCTCCTCCTCCCCCTCCTCCTCCTCCTCCTCCTCCTCGTCCTCCTCCACCTCTTCTCTCCTCCTCCTCCTCCTCCTCCTCCTCCTCCTCCTCCTGTCGTCCCCCTCCTTGTCACCCCCCTCCCTCCACTGCCCCTCGTCCCCCTCCGCCTGCTCCTCCTCCCCTCCAACCCCCACCCCTCGCTCTCCTCGATGGCCCCGGGGGCACCCGAGTGGGCCCGCCCCCGACGACGACGACGTCGACGACGACGACGACGACGACGACGACGACGACGACGACGACGACGACGACGACGACGACGACGACGACGACGGCGGCGGCGGCGGCGGCGGCGGCGGCGGCGGCGGCGGCGGCGGCACGGGGCCGCGCGTGGAGCGGGCAAAGGGGGGGGGGCGTGCCTGGCTCTCCCGTGTCCCTCCCCCCTCTCCGAACAACAGCAGCTTGGGAACCCCCAAGCCGGGTGGTGAGATACCGGGTGGCGACCTGGAATCCCCAAGAAGGTCACCGCTGGGTTTGGGGACGCGGGGTCACCACCGGGTTTTGTGACTCCTGGGCCCACCAGTGTCCGGGACATCCTCGGAAAACCGCACGAGTCCCCAAACCGGGTGGTGACACCAAATCGCCCGAGACTCACCACCAGGTATTGTCACCACCACGTTTGGGGACTACCAAGCAGCACAAGTGCCCCTGAAGCGCGACCCGGGGGCGAAGAGCTCCCCCCAGACATTCGGCGACGGTGGAACGTCTTATGTACCTCCGCCCCCCTTCCGCTCCCTCTGCCCGCTCCACTCGACTTGCGGGGCCAGGTCAGACAGATCGAGGACAATCAAGGCAAGTCGATGCAACACCAACTGCATCGAAGCAACTCCAGATATGTTCAGATCTCAGCTGCCCCAATACGCAACACGTTCGTCAAAACGTGGGCCGGCACATGCCGAGCCAACACGCAACGTGTCGACAGGGCCGTGTTCAACACGGCACGCACTGCGTTTCAAGACGAGCGCATCAGGGCAGCTACGATCCGGACGAATCTGGGACGAGTGGCGGAACCTCCACAAGCGCAAGCCCAGGGACATCGGACGTCGCCCCTCCCTCCCCCCATAACCCCAGCGCTGGGGCTCGTTTTCGGAGCGCGGGCCCCTGGAGGCCTCGACCCCTTCCCACTGGATGATGAGCAGTGCGCCGGCCCAGCGGGCCAGAGGCGTGCTGACATTAAGTGGAGCATGTCCCCCTACGGGGGGATTTTGGACGAAAAAGCAAATCCATCAACATGGTCAAAAATAGGAGGAAAATCGTCCCCAGGCTATGTTTTACTATGTGGGGATGCTTTGTCAAAATAGGCCCGAATAAAAAAATCCACCAACATGGTCAAAAATAGGAGGAAGATCGTCCCCAGGCTATTTTTCACTATGTGGGGATGTTCCCCCTGTATGGGGGACAGGCCCGACGTGATGCCAGCAGCTCGAGCAGGCGCCCAAGACTGCCTCCGGTGCGTGCGCGCGTGGCGGTCCCTGGGCAGGCAGGCAGGCGCGACCCCCGCGGCTCGCAGAGAGAGCAGCTGCTCGCAAGTGGCCCGGACCCATTGCGCCGACGCAAAGAATCGGAGGAGGGGGAGGGAGGAGGAGGAGGAGGAGGAGGAGGAGGAGGAGGAGGAGGAGGAGGAGGAGGAGGAGGAGGAGGAGAGAGAGGAGGAGGAGGAGGAGGAGGAGGAGGAGGAGGAGGAGGAGGAGGAGGAGGAGGAGGAGGAGGAGGAGGAGGCGGAGGAGGAGGAGGAGGAGGAGGAGGAGGAGGAGGAGGAGGAGGAGGAGGAGGAGGAGGAGGAGGAGGAGGAGGAGGAGGAGGAGGAGGGTGAGGAGGAGGAGGCGGAGGAGGAGGAGGAGGAGGAGGAGGAGGAGGAGGAGGAGGAGGACGGGTCGCCCGAGCCCTTCGGAGAAACCCTCCACCCCGAAGACACGGAACACAGGACACAAGGGGCGCGCAGACATGGATGATGACTACCTACCAAGCCACCCCAACCCAACCCGAAGACCCGAATTTCGGGTTGGGGGGGTACGGGCTTCATATGTGTTTTTTTCCATGTTCCCCGACCCTCCACTTACTGGACATGGAGGGTCAAATGAAGCCTTCGGGTTGGGTTGGGGTGGCTTGGTCGGTGGAATTAGCGATCCATGGATTTGGCGCGCGGTCGCCAAATCCATGGATCGGGGGAGGTGTCCTCCCCAAAATGCGGCCGGCGCCGCCTCGTTCGGCGGCGGAAATCCGCGATTTCCCACGGAAGCGGGACCCGTCGCTAATCCACGTCCCCTTAATGAATGTTTGCGTCGACACCGAACAGCTCCATTGCATCGAACAGCGCATGTTTTTAGCTCGTTTGCGAGTAGACATTTTGCGAGTAGTGGAACGCGCTCGGTGACTGGGGGTCCCCGGGCGAAGGGTGCCCTGTCAAGGTCTCGGCAAGGGATGCTGGAGCTCCTGGGCGCGGCCTCGGGGGCCCCCCGAGCGCCCCAACGAGGCGCGAAAAGGGTGGCACGCCCCACGGCCTCAGGCGAAGAGCGTTCCAAGATGGCCCGCGCTGGTCCCAAGACGGCCCACGAGGCGCCCCCGACGCTCCAGGAGGGTTCCAAGGGGACGTCGGGAGGCCCCGAAAACGCGCAAAGCATTGATTTTGCAAACGTTTTCGGGCGATTTTGACGGTACCGCCTTTCGAGCTGCCGGCCCCCCCCCCCCCCATCTGCGACCTCGCCATCCCAGCCCCTCCTATGGCCATGCGCAGTTCATCCCACCTCCTTCTGCTCCCCCCCCCTCCTCCGCGTTCCTCGTCCTCGTGACGCTGGCACCAATGATGCAGTTCATCCTGGGCCCCTTTCCACCCCTGCACTCCTCCCCTTTTCCATCCCCCAGCCCCGACACCACCCCTTCTCTCGCAGTCTTTCCTTCCCATGGCGCATCATCCCCAGGCACCCGCGCCTGGTGTCTTCCCAAACGACGGCCCTCTCCGTGACCAGCACGGAGATCAGCGGCAACTCCCGCGCACGCGCCACTCCAGCCGGTAGCGCGCAGCACGTGCACAGCTGGACACACGAATTGTGTATTTCGCCTGCGTGCAACGCCCCCCCGTGGACAAGCCGAGAGAAACGCGAAAGTTCCCGCCCTGTCACCACCAACAGCGAGTTGCACACTCCGAATACACAGGTGGGACCACGATCTGCGCACACAGATCACACAACGACCTGTGTAAGCGGTGGACGCGCATGCGCAATGACACAATTCAAGACACGAGCTGCGTGCAGAGATCACACCTCGACCTGTGTATTTCGGAAAAGGCAAACGCTCGCGACCTCGAAGGTACCCTTACTTTGCCAATCCAGAACCGAAGTCGGCGTCCATAGCTAGGGGGAGTGCGAATACACACTTCCCTGGCCCAGGGCGGCCCCTTACGGACTGCAAGTGCACATCCCTGGCCAAGGGCGGCCACCGTGGAACGCGGCGCCAAGGCTGCCCACCGCGGCCGCCTGGGACCCCCCAAAACAAAAAAGGCCCGACACCAGTACGACAACATGACAGATGCCACATGTCCCGGATGTCTGCGCAAACAAAGCTCGAAACGTCGCCTCGGAGCACTGCGCTGGCACGGTGGCGGACCTTGCCGCAAACACCAACCAATTTTCATGTTCGCGCTACGACTGCAGTTGGCTGCCAGTGCCACCCGCACTTGGAGTGCGCCCCGAACGCTTGCATTGGCCACGCCCTCTACTTCTGGCTGGCTCTATGCTCGGATTTCGAACAGGCAATACAATGCGAACGCGGGCGCGCGGCTCCATCACCTGCCTTTCTTGGAGCAGCGAGGGAGGACAAGGTGTGGCGACAGATGGATGGTAGAGGAGGGATGCAAAAACGAGGAACGAGGAATGAGTGGGAGAGGAAAGGGGCGATTCCCCGTCGGAGCCGCGGCCGCCTTCGACCCCATCCAGGGGGTAGAGAAAGGAGAAGGGAGCAAGGAGGAGGACGACGACGGAAAGCAAATTCCAAGCGGCCCGCAGATATACCAAACAATTGCGATTCGGGTGGGCGCGCTTTCCTCGAATCATGTCAATCCCGACCCCTACTGAATTCACGAATCCCCCCCAACTTTGTAAACACTGCGCCCTCTGTAATTGACCCTTCCTATACAACTGCCTCACAACAGAGGGGCAGTGGATTCCAAATCCCGTCAGCAAATCCAAGGTCCGAGCGACGAGCATCTCGGCCAACACCACAACGCGGCTGCCCCTCGCATGAGGCCTGTCCGGACGGCCGGTGCTTGCCGGACGCGGCGAGCTCCGAGCTGTCCCTGCAGCAGCGGGCCTGCGCGGGCTCGGGGCAGCCACGCGCTCTGCTTCGCGGACGCTCGCCGCAGGGCCCCGCACCGCCCTGGCGGGCAGCTCAGCTCAGCGGCCAGCGCGGCGCGCGTGCGCTAGGCCGCCCAGGCCTCGCAGCAGGGCGACGGGTCCCAGCGCCGCCGCCTGCGTGACGCCGCCACTGCGCCCTTGGCGAGCCTGGCCGGCACCGAGACGGCAGCGGCGGTGAGCTCCTCGGGCCGCCTCTCCCGCTGCGGGGCGGCGGCGCCCTGCGCGCAGCCTGGCGCAGAGGCGCCGCAGATGCCTCGGCGAGCACGGGCTCGGTCGTGAGCTCCGCGCTCCGACAGCGGGCTCTGGCCTGCCCCACTCGCCGCGGAGGGCCGACGCCCCGGGCGCTGTGGGTGGACCCCGGCCAGTTCAGCCCCGCTGCTCGCGCGGCGAGCGCGGGGGCCGCCCTTCTCGCGGCAGGCCTGCCAGGCGGCGGGCCGCCGTCCTCGCCTTCGGCAGCTTGTCCGACAGCAGGCAGCTGGCAGAGGAGGGTGAAGCTGGCGGGGGCAGCTGGCACGTGGAGAAGAACCCTGCTGCTGGGGCGTTTGCTGCACCGCCCCGCATGGCGCTTATCCGGACCTGAGGACGGGCTGCCAAGGCAAAGCGGGCCAGGCGAAGGAGACAGAGAGAGAGAGAGCGGGAAAGCGAGGGGCCAAGGAGCCGAGGGGGGGGGGCTGAGTGGAGAAGGAAGAACGACGAAGATGGTGGATGGATTGGAAGGATGGCCGAGGACGAGGGCTTCGCAGAAGGTTGACGAGGGGTGTCGTGGAGGAGGGCTGCTGGGTCTGCATGGTGCAACACTGTAAGGAGAACCGTTGTGATTTCAATGTTTGTCCGGCCCATCACCCCTTTTCGTCCTCATCTCCCCACTGCTGCTGGTGCTCATCCCATTCCAACTCATAGTTACCGTCTCACCCCCATAGATCCCCTCTATCACTATCTGTGTATGCTCTCCCTCTCTCTCTTTCTCCCTCTCTCTCCCCCTCTTTCTCTCTCGCCCTCGCTATCTTCCTCCCTCCCTATATGTCATATATCTGTATGTGGCTATCTCCCCCTCTATCCCTCGACCCCTCTCTCCCATTATATATATATGTGTGTAGATGTACATCCCTCTCTATCTCTCCGTCTCTATCTCTCCCTCTTTCCTTCTTGTTCAGTCCCTCTGTCTGTTCATGTATTATTATTTATTTTGTTATGTCTATATCTTTTCTCTCTATTTTTCACATGCCTGTCTCTACCTATCTCTCGATTCATATATCTATATATGTGTACAGATAGACAGATATGTAAATACGTCCCTCTCTCTCGTCATCTCCCCCTGCCCTTCTTCATCTCTTTCTGTTTACCCTGCCTGGCTCTCATAGCTGCGTCTTCTCTCTCTCTCTCTCCCTCTCTCTCTCTCTCTCTCTCTTCAGTCTCTTCAATCACTCTCTCTCTCTCTATCTCTTTCCCTCTCTCGTTCAACCCCCCCTCCGAGAGGGCATGCAGGGGAGCGGCGGGGCACGGAATGGCGTGCAGCGGCGCGCTGCCCTGCACGGCGATCCACGCGCGGTGGGCCGTGACAACCTCCGGAGGGGCCAGGCTCACCCTGTGACGACACGTCTTGCCACGACCAGCCCTCGCACCTCTCACCGACGGCGATGCGTCCCTCGTCCTCCTCCTCCGCCTCGTCCTCCTCCCCTTCCTGCACCACCTGCTCCTCTTACTCCTCCTCCCTCCTCCTCCTCCGCCTGCTTCTCCTCCCCCCCTCCCTCCTTCTCTTGCTCCTCCCCCCTCCTTCTCCTCCTCTGACCCTCCTCGTCACCTGGGGATGGGGTCGAGAGCTTTGGAACATCGCGGCGAAAAGCCATCCTTTCCTGGGAGACGCACAACGAGCAAGGGGTCGAACTCGGCGCGACCGCCGGGATGCCGCACCGGCCCGGGGAAGGACGCAGGGCGAGCGGGGAGGGGAGAACTGGGCGAGGGGAGAAGGTGCAGCGGTTGCCTCGCCGCCCCCAGAGCGGCTCGGCGGCTTAAGCCCCGAGACGCACAGAAGCTGGAAGTCGGAGCAGTAGGCGCAGGAACAGAAAATCTAGGTGTATATGGATATCTCTCTCTCTCTATACATATATATATATATATATATATATATATATATATGCACATGTAGATGGCGTGCATATATAGATACGTACACATATATATATATATTATACATATGTATATATATATATGTATACATACATATATATATACACATGTTTGTATTCCAAGCGTGTGCTATGTATGGGATGCGAGCAACGGCTTGGCCCGATCACGGTTTCCGCATTTCTGCTGTCGCACTGGGCAGCTGGACGAACCCGTCTGGGTTTCAAGGTGCATGGACCGTCGATATCTTTCTTGTCTGCATGGCGACGTCTGCATGACATTTGGGTAATGAATGTATCTAGGGGAACAAAAAATGGCATGATCATCAAAACTCTGAGGTCCGCGCGGACCTCTGAGTTTTTATGTTTATGTCACTTTTTGTTCCCCTAGTATCATGCTATGCGTCTTTGGGCCGCGCGCCCCCCTGCCCCTACCTGTCGCCTCGTCGCCTCCCGTCCCCCACTCCCCGACCTGGTGATAGCACCCTGCCCCTGCATCTCTGCAGCAGGCCATGCGAACACAAGTGGGAAGGTCCGGGCCCACCATGGATCCCGAACAAAAAAATAAGCTAGGCACAGTGTGTCAGGCCTTGTCCGCCGACCATGTGGTTGGTACTCGACGCTACAAGCGATACTGCGTCACATCCGAACGCATTTGTCACTGCTCGTCGCTCCCACCCCCTTGCGGCCACGAGCGGCACCATGTGCGGGCATGTGCGGTCGTCCGCGACAGGGTGTGCGGCCATGTGCGGGGGTGCGGGGCGGAGGCGGGGGGGCATGCGCGGCCTGCTGTGCGGAACTGGCACGTGCGGCCGCGCGCGGCCCTGTGTAGCCGCGCGGCCACGAACGGTGCCATGTGCAGGCATGTGCGGCGCCATGTGCGGGCATGCGCGGGCAGCGCCGGGACAATCAGCTGCGGTGTGGGCACCCACTGTATCGCCCGATGTACGTAACGCTGCTCGTACATACTGCACGAAAGGGTTTTCCCGCGCACGCCACGCACGTGCGCGCTCAGTCGCAGACAACGCTCCAGGGTGGGGGCCGAACCGAAGCAATGGAGGACTAACTCGGTGCACATGACCCCGCACATGGCCGCACATGTGCACAAACCACTGGATCACCTCGCTCGGGTACTAAAAACATCTGCACATTCGAGGCCCATGCCGCGCACACACCCGCACAACGAGCGCACACGGCGAGCCAAAATCGCCCGCACATGCTCCGGAACAGCACGAAGATCGCGAGCCGTGTGTACCACTACGCCGTTACAAAAGTTCGTCACGTTTCATGAGAGCTTGAAGGTGGCATGGGTTTCGTGTCTTCCTTCCGCGTGAGCAAGCGGGCAGAGGCTGACCACTGCCCTGGCCGCGCCGAGCTGGCCCCCCCTTCCCCCCTAGAATCCTAGCGGGCTGAGTCACGAGCGCTCGGATCAAAGATCCGGGATTTCTCAAAGTGGGATTTCATCCCTTACTATAGTAGTATAGATTTAAAACGGGACATTTTGAAATCCCGACGTAAATTCACACGGCTCTAGAAATCCCACCGGGGCGGGATTTGTCTTTGCTTATGCAAGATGATCGACTTTTACTTTATGACGAAACTTTTGTAACGCCGATGTATTCGAGTGAGGGGGGCGAACGGTTTTACACCGTCCCTGGGTGCGTGTCTGAAGTGGGATCCCGCGGCGTGGATGTTGCTTGTTGCTGTGGAGCTCTTGCTCCCAACGGCAAGTACTGTTGATCCCCTCCCTGGTAACCTGTGTGTGTGCGTGTGTGTGTTTTCAATTGGGGCCCGCACCCCGCTCCCCAAGCAGAGTTTGCACTTAGGTGTTTGTACTTTTTGTCCAATGAGCTGGGCCTGTGAGTTGGTCTGGCCGCTATGGGGCCGCCGTCGTGTGGGCCTGGGCGTCGGCGCGGCGACTGTGCGTCGCCGTCGCCGCTCACATAGATCCTCTTTTTCTTTCAAAGCCAAAACGAGGACTCCCCCACTCGGCATTGCGGCCCCCTTTGGGACATGACCATTTAAATGAGAGTCTGCCCCGTCGTTCGTTTTACATACGAATCCATATATCACCCCTGGGAGTTCCCTTTTTGCGCCCCCCTCACCACTGCCAGACAAGACCTAGCACGCACACTAAATACTCCATGCCAACAAAAACAACATACTCCATGCCAAACACTCCACGCCAAATACTCAAAAAATCCAAAGACTTTCAAACATGTCAAAAATAAAAAACAAATACTCGATGCCAATACTGCAAATGTTTCTCGAACATCTTCCATGTCCAAATGCTCCAGCAAAAACGCGCACTCCACACGCGCGCGCGCGCTCCGTCGCGCACGCACGTCGAAACCAGTCAAAAGGACCTTACGCTTCGCATAGACTTCCAAGGCCGAACTTCCCGGCACACACGCACACACACACACACACTATTGCAGTCGGGGCGTTGACCTAAGGAACCCCAGATAAGGAACGAGGCCCCTTTCTCCCATAAGTTGAACTTCGATTTCCCATGGGAAACCTCAGGAGAACCGAAGGTACACCGCAGAACAAGCAAGGAACACCGAGCCCCTCCCCAACGAAAAGGGTTCCTTCTTCAGGGCCCCGACTGTATTACAATGCGTTTACATCGTATCGCTTCAAACAAATGTGCGCGCCAGTTGGCGCGAATTCGAATGAAAACAACGCGCTGCCAAGCACTGCCGCAAAATGAAGCCGCGCAGGCCTCTCGCGCGCGGGTCGAAATCATTCGAACGGTCTTGCGCCGTTGCAGGGGGCGCACGGTTCTGATCCAATAACGCCGCGCGGGCATCTCGCGCGCAGGGCCGAGCGCGCATTTCGAAATCCGCTCAAAAATTTCACCGACGACAAGTGGCCTGCGCTGTCGTCGTCGACGCGATCAACATCGGCGCCGACATTGGCTTTGCCGTCGCCGTCGCCAGCATCGTCACAAGCATGCCCGCCGCCGTTGACGCGGCCGCGATACCTCGCCCGCCCGCCAGAGCAGCCGGTGAGACGTGCTGGGGAGCTCTCATCGGTCAGCGCCATCGCGGCCGCAGCGGCTGCGCCGAACTGGTGAGCCGCTCTGCGCGCGAGCTCGCGCGCGCTACGCGGCCGCGCAGATGCGCCTGCCAGCGTCGAACGGTCATCGCAAACGCCGCCGCGTGGGCATGGTAGACCAAGTGGCGGGCGGGCGGGTGGGGCGACTGCGCGAGAAATGCAGCTGACGACCCACTGCGAACGACAGATAAGTGGACAGCATAGAATGCGCGACATAGATTGCCCAAGCGAGATTGCCACACATGGATTGCGCCGCATAGGTTGCACCACCTAAGATGTACAACGTAGTTTGCGCCACGCCGAATACCCCCTTCCTCCTGGAGCTGCCGCCCCCCCCCACAAGGCTATCGAAATTTACACCTTATTGACCCCCAGTCATCCACATCAATTGCCACTGCGCGCGCGCACTCGCTTACCACGAACCGGAGCATCCCTCGCACAAGGCGGGACAGAACCCGCGCGCGCGTCTCGTCGCGCGCATGTGGCATTCCTTTACAAATCTGGAACTTCAAAAGGGTGTCAACATCGAGGTTCTGGGAAGCCGATGATCAACAACATGGATGTGCAACTTGCTGCAAAGACTTCGCGCGCGCTCTGGCGAATTCCCAATGCATGCAGAGATGCTGCAACATGTTTGCTCGTCACATTAGATAACGGGGGCCCCTCGCGCGCGCGTGCCGAAATCATTCGAACGGCCTTGCGCCATTGGGGGGTCGACAAATTCCACGAGGGCCTCTCGCGCGCGTCGGCAGCGCGCGCGTCAAAATCCCCCCAAAACATTATTACCTTCTTTAGCGGCACGTGGAATTCATAATCTCCGTCAGCGCGACCAGCATCGGCGCCGTCAGTGGCCTTGCCGTCGCCATCTCCCTCTGTCTCACCGTCATCGCTACTATCATCATCGTTTCCCCCGTTGCTGATGTCATCACGAAGCCGTGCCCGCCCGAATCACCGACCCACGTTGAAGCGCTCGCGCGCTAGCGCGGCCTGTGTGGCGCGCTGGGGCGCCCCCATTGCCTGCGCTTCCGCGGGCGCGCCGGCTGCGCCGAGCAAGCTGGCCGCTCTGCGTGGGCCTCGCGAGCCACGCCGCGGGTGGGCGGGCGGCAGGGGGAGGATGGGCGCGCGAGCAGTGGACCCGAGAACTCCGAGCCCGTCAAAAACAGCCGCGCCACTCGCGCCGCGCAGGTGGCTCATCGCCGCCTGCGCCGCGCAGGCTGCTCCGCGGATGTTGCGCAGCGTAGATTGCGCCGCGTAGACTTCGCGCGCGGCGCGCACGACGTAATTCGCTGAAAACGCGGCGCGGGGCCCGCGCTGGCAAACGCGCTTTTTACAAAGGCAAGACTTGCGCGTCACGCTGGGCCCGTGGCCCCCGGACTGCAACGACGGGTTCCCCAGGTTTCGCCAGAATCGCCCTTGCGATCTACGAGGGAATCGCATTCTCGCGTGGGACTTCCACTGAGTTTATTCGGGCGCTGCGCCCCCGGCACTTGGGAATTGCGAATTCGCGTTGGACCCCCCCCCCGCGATTGACTTGGGACTCGCGCAATCGCTCAAGATGTTCTCGCGATGGCGCTTCGGCAGCCGAGCCGCTCGGCCCAGCCATCTAGGCCCGCCCGCCCAACCCGCGCCGTTGGGGCCCGCCCGCCCGACCGCCCGTCTTGCCCTCCTGCCAATCTGTTGCGGAATCCATTCTTATCCCTCCCACTCTGCCCGTCTCCCCCCTTCGCGCCGCGCTCATTTCCTGTTCGCTATGTGGATTTCCCTGTCTTCCTCCTCGCCCTGTTTCAAGGACCGCGTCAGCCGCGCGCGGCAGGCGCGGAATGTGGACCTCCGTGGGGGGGGGCGCGGTCGCAGACGAAACGGGCGGCGGTGGAGGTCTTGGAGCGCACGCGTCGCCAGGGCGGCCCTTTCGAACACGCCCAAGTAGAAAGCTGCTGCAAAACGGCGGCAAGCCCTGCGCCCGAGGCGGAGTCTGCCATGGCAGCCGATGCGCGCGCGTCGGAAGAAACGGCGCGGCGGCGCAAGTTGATTGACGCGCCGGCAGATAAGGGCGAACAAGCTGGAGATGCCCATTGGCGTCGCCATCGCCCTCGCCCGCGACCTGCTCGCGACTCGCCCGCGGCCCGCCCCGCGACCCGCCCTAGGACTTCTTCTTCATCATCATTATTATCATCATCATCATCATCATCATCATCATCATCATCATCATCATCATCATCATCATCATCATCATCATCAGCATCAGCATCAGCATCAGCATCAGCATCATCATCACCGTCATCATATTATTCTTCATCTTTTTCATCAGCATCATCATCATCATCCGCAGCATCAGCACCAACAGCACCACTCGGCCTTCATCGCGACTGGCCGCGTAGAGTAACAGCGGAAGATCATGCGAAAACAGTCGTACTGATCTGGCAGGGTCACCTCTGCGACGGCGGGCGGAAAAAAGGAGGGAAGAAGAGGGAGGGGAACGGGAGGAGCAGGAGGAGGAGGAGGCGGAGGCGGAGGAGGAGGAGAAGGGGAGAGAGTGAGAAGGGGGGAGGAGGGCAATTGTGCGGAAGGACGAGGGGGGGATGAGGAGTGGGAGGAAGGGAGGGCGAGGTGGAGGAGGAAGGGAGAGCAGAACGGGGGGAGCAGGAAGCGCGGAGGGACGAGAGGGCGGGGGGGGGGGAGAGGAGAGGGCACGGGGGAAGCAGGGGGGCGACGGGGACGCGGCGGGAGGAGGGCGACGAGGCGAGGGAGGGGGAGAGGCAGCGAGGCCGGAGGGGAGAAGCGGGAGGAGGGAGGCCGAGAGGAGGACGAGAGGACGAGCAGGGCGGCCGACAGAGGGGCCGCGCGTGGAGAGCGGGAAGGGAGCAGGAGAGAGAGAGGGAGGCGGACCACGCGCGGGAGGAGGCGGGCGGAGGGAGGAGGGGCGTGCGGGGAGCGGGAGGGATATAGGGAGGGGGGGGGGGAAAGGGAGGGGCAGGAGGAGCAGGGGGGAGGAGCAGGAGGAGGAGCAGGAGGAGCAGGAAGATGCTGCCCCTCCTCCTCCTCCTCCTCCTCCTCCTCAGCTGCCATCTGGACCCAAGAGATTGTCAGGGCAGCAGACAAACGCTCACCGCCATTCCACAGCATGTGGAGTAAGGACTAACTGGGCAGAGGCCCGCATGGCGGCAACGGCATGGACAGCGTCGTTGGCCCTGCTGCTATTCAACCCGCTCTCCGCGAAGCCCGACAGGCAGCAGGAGATCATCGAGGAAGCGGCCAACTTCGACGTCATCATCCTCGCAGGTACTCAACGATGGCGTCGAGAACTTCATCCTGAACAGCGTCGAATTCAGGGAGCCAGAGTGTATGACGCAGGCTGGAGGACGGGAACACTCACTAACCGCAGCACGGGCATGATGATAGCGCTCCAGGGCAAACTAAGAGGGGCGCAGGTGACCAGTGTTCTGGAGCCTCCAGGGGAACTTTGCGGCAGAGGCCTCGCACTTCAACTCGTACAGTACGACACCCAGATCACGATCGTCGGATACTATTGCCCGCCGCAGCCCAAGACCACGGCAGACCGCAAGCAGTACTTTGCGACGGTGGCGAGATTATTCAAATGGATGGACGAGGTAGCAACCAAACGCCCCAGGGGCAGCCTCCTCTTCACGGCAGGGGACCTCAACGACGGCATAGGCATCACGTGCAAGAACGAGCACCCGATGAGCGACTCGCTTGGAGCGGGCAGGGCGAAGGAGAAACTACCAGGCGGAGCGGGGCACAAAGCCAGACAGCACGCGGAGCGACACGGACTGACAGTCACCAACACGACGGGCACATGGAGACCCACATTCTTCGGAGAAACGACGGCCAGCTGCATAGACTACATCATGATGCCGACGACACTGGCCAACAGCATCATCTCTCAAGGACCACTCCTCCGCATGGGCACACGGCTGCAACACATTCGTAGCCGACGACATCGAGATCACGTCCCAGTGCAGCTCACAGTTCGTATTCCACTTCGACAAAGAGTACAAGCCCGACAACATATAGCACGATGGGATAAAGACAAACTGGCAGCGACAGCACGCGAGGGACTACACGCAGAGTTATTCATCCAGGATCCGGAAGGAAAGGCCGCGAACTACAACGAGCACGGCAAAGGCATAGACCAGCTGTTCCAGGACTTGAATCAGATGATCATCGAAACGGCCCAACAGTATTATGGACAGGGACAACAGAAACCCGAGGAGTACCAGATACTACGAGACAGACGAATGGAGCTATTAAAAAGACGAAGAGACCTTCGAGAGCAACTACGACGCGAAGGAGATTGCCTACTCATCACGATCGCAAACTCGACCAAGCTGGACACAGCCAAGGTGGACTACATCCCACGGGAAAATCCGACCAACAACCCCTACGCGCAGAACTCGGACCAGCCAGGAGCAGAAGACGAACTCGATCCCCGCCGCCTACGACTGGACTACATCGAGACCGAACTCAAGAACATCACTGCTACCTGCGCAGCCTGGCGCAAACTCGAGTGCCAGCGGAAGACGGACGCCAGGGTGGAGGAGCTGTACGAGGCATGGGAACGACGAGATCTTGCACGCGTGGGCCGACTGTCAAGATTGATTGCTGACGGAAGATACGGACCACGCAAGCGTGACTACTGGACGATGGTCACAGCCAACCCCACGACGCAAGAGTGGACCGAGTTCTGGCAGCTCCCAGGTGGATTAGGAGGCAGGGAAGGCACAGAACTGAATAGAGAAGATATTGAACATATTCCCATCGACGCGGACGAAATGGACTATTACGACAATGACATAGAAGAACTTGTGGAGAAGGATATGGAGGGCATTGCAAAACGGTTAAAAAAGGCTAAACTCCGACGTGCGGCACCACCGACAGCGGCCCCCAACGAGCTATGGAGAGTGCTACTTTGTCAGACAGAGGAACAACCTCAACAGCAAAGACAAGGACTGGGGGCACTCCAACCACTCCCTCAGCCAGAAGGATTTCAAGACCTCTTCAGGGCGGCACTGGCGGCCATCAGACTCAAGAACGCAACTCCAGTACGATGGCATCAGAGCGCGGCAACAGCAGTAAAGAAGAACAACAAAGCTGGCCCTGCAGGAAAAAGGATATACCACATCATGGACCCGATTGGCAAGGCATTTGACTCGTCCTGCATGGCTCGAAAGAAGGCTCAGACTCACACTGACCAGGACTACGGCTTCATCAGAGGACGACGACGCGAAGGAGCCATATTGGCGATGGCGGTCGTCGAGTATCGGGCAAGACAGGCAGGCTTCAATTACATCACGACGATGAAGGACATGTCGAACGCCTTTGCCAGCTGCGCGTGGACGGCCATGGACGAGGCCAACAACAAGATCATGCCAGAAGACTCTGCTGAGTTGGGTGCGCAGCGATACCGACGAGCTACGTTTGTCATACCATGTCGCGATCAGGAGCATGGAGTTTGCATCAAGCCACACTGTGGAGGACTGATTGGAGATCCGTACATGGTCAGTAACTTCGTGGCCAGCTTCTCGACGTGCATCAAGAACTGGATTGAGGACTGCAACAAAGAGTTAAAGAACGATGATCTGTTGTTTGGGAGCTGTGAGATATTTCAACACCCAGTTTACTTGGGCCTGGCTAAGTATGCGGACGACCTTCGCAAGATCATCCTAGGCGACAAGCACGCAGATGCAGCAGATCTGACAGCGCAGGCACACATAGTGGACAACACGCTCAACCAGAGGCTTGACACGATCGGGATGCGCCAGAACACAGACAAGCAGGAGAACATCGTCTACTTCCAAGGACAAGGCACGACCAAAGCACACCAGCAGCTCAAGACGAAGCCCGATTGCAAGCTACCTGGCAAAGTTGTTCCACGTGCACGATATCTTGGACCACAGATCAGCCCGACACAGAACTATGGGGCAGAACTCAACAAGCGCATCGCGGCCATGAAAAAGAGTTACAACGAATGTGGCAGCTTCTGGACTAAAGGGCATATACCATACAGGTGGAAGCGAGCGGTTCTCATCTGCAGGGTGATCAACACAGGCCTCTCGTGCATCGAATGCTTCTTGCCGACGCCCAGAGAGTACCAGCAGCTACAGAGCGCTATGGGCGCACTACTTCGGCGAGCCATGCGAGGAGGCGCCACACGTCACAGAGACGGCAGCGTGCGGAGCCTTAGCACGCTGGAAGTATTTCGCTACTGGCAAATATTGCCGCCAGCGGAGGAAGCACTGGTGCGCCGACTCGGATGGTTCAAAAACATCCTTCGCTTCCCTAGCAATCACAAGCAGTTGATCGTAGCACTCTTCGGGAGGGTCGAGTTCGAGACAAACGAAGACGAGGACAAACTCAGGACCGACACGAATCCCTGGGCTCAGAGGTTCTTGGAGGACGTCAGATACGCGTGTGGGGTCTCGGAGAGCTACTACAACACGCTAGGCGAGGGCGAGAACATCACGATAGATAGGCTCTTCACTCTAGACGTTAGGGAACAACTATATCTCCTTGATGTTCGGGAAGTTCGGGCAGCAAAACTCGGAGTGGCGGCCCCCCCCACCAGGATACACACAGCAAGATGTCCAAAGAGAAGAGCTAGCCTTATAAGAACCGAAGCCATGGAAATGTGAAATTAAACACGGAGAAGCGGAATGTGGTCTATTATTCGCAAGCAAGAAAGCACTACATAGCCATATTATTCGTGCACATAATGTACACAACTTAGCAGCGGTGATGACATCAAACAACGAGTGCCTGAATTGCCAGCAAGTATTTACAAGCAAAGGTACGGCATGGAAACATTTGGCAAGCAGTATGATCAAAGGAGGATGCAACAGAGACAGAACAAATAATCAATATGTTCCGACGGCACATTCTCCGCAATGCCCTCTCTGTAGTCATTTCTCTCTCGGCAAGGGTGCGCAATTCATTCACTTACGTACGCATCTCCCGCGACAACTCCTACAGCCGCCAAGAGGGATACGCCATGTCGCTGTTCGACCAGAGGCCATTGGGCCAGGCTCCGCCAGGCCCAGCAGGAGGGGGCGCAGTCCGACGAGAAGATCGCAGCCGCCGACGAGGACCAGTGCTACGCGGACCAGCGGTCGGAGGCGGAGGCAACCAGCAACAGATCACGGAGCTCACGGCGAGGCTCACGCTCACGGTGGCACGAGAGCAAGCGGAAATGGCGGCGGCACTCATACAAACTTGGGAAATCGCCACGACGACGGGTATCGCTACCACGGCCCTCGGAGCGGGCAAGCACTACAACGACGAGGCGCAGCAGCTCCACCAGAGACAGCGAGGCGGAGAACAAGTCGACCTAGGCAGCCTGGGCAGCCCGCACGTGAAGGTGTGGACGGAGACGTGCGCTTACCTGGGCAAGCAGCTCGAGGAGGACGGGCAGCTCAACGAGGTGAAGAGCCACTACGATAACATCATTATGAAGAACGACACGGAAGCCCTCGCGGACATAGTACCAGTGTTCAGGGTCAGGCGCAACAAGGGCAAAGAGGGCGGCGGGGTCGAGAAGTGCAGATTCCAGTTCAAGTTCGGAGAGAGCAACCACCAGCTGTGCACAGTGCTGGTCAACCAGCTCAAGAAGGAGGGCGCCACTCGCAAGATCGGGTCGGCACCGAGGGGCGCCTTGGAGAGGGAGCTCGGCCGCCTAGTGAACGGATAGTCGACTTCGGCACGATAGAGGAGGAGAACCGAGAGGATATGACCGCTCGAGATCGACACCTGAGAGATGAGGAGGAGGAAAACAGTGTTCGAATTCGCCCAGTCCTTCCCCCACAGCTTCCCCAGACCATCCCACGAGTTTGTGAGAATAGCGCCAGGTTCCGTGAGATAGTTAGGTCTGGACGTCTCCCACCTCCCCCGTCTCAGAATGCTGTGCCCGAAATCTTCCAATTCGATGGCCCACGTTTTCCTCAGTATTTACTAATGCACCGACCTCCCCCCCCTCCCGAACCGAAGCGTAAGGGACGAGGTAAGGGTACGCGGAGCCAGCGAAGCAAACAGCAGCGGCAGAGCGAACGACCTCCGTGAATGCGGGTGCTACCCTGCCCGCAAACCCCTGCGTGGGGGAGGTCGGTGCAGGTCGGGCCCGAGCGTCCACTGACGTCTGCTCTACCAGTTTACTCAGAGAACACAGCTAGGCCGTGCTTAGATTACGCAGCTACTCAGAGCTAGCCAGAGCGTCAGTCACCCAGACATCGGCCCGACAGCTCGATCGATCGATCGATCCTCCTCCTCCTCCTCCTCCTCCTCCTCCTCAAGCTCCTCTCACTCCTCCTCCTCTCGGTGGGCATCCTCATCCTCATCATCTCTCCTCATCCTCGCCCTCCTTCTGCGCCTCCTGGCATCCCTCCTCCTCATCCTCCTTCCTCCGCCTCCACGGGGTCCTTTCGATACTTTCCTCCCGTTGGAATACCACCTGGCCACGTGCCTCGCCCTCCTTCCTTCTCCCCCGCATTGCATTGTCTTCTTCATCATGCTCCTCCCCGTTCTCCCGCCCCGCGATTCGCCTCCGCACCGATCCGTCACGAGCCCTTCTGCGTCGTCCTCCTTGTTCTGGTACGATTCGTTACGTTATCCCCTCCCGACACATCACCCCGAACTATTTCACTTCCGCTATCTCCTTCTCCTGTTCCTGGTCCATCGTCCTGCTTCACCACTCGCTATTCACGCTCATGGCGCCCACCCTTCCACCACGTTAGGCTGTTTGATTCCCTGCCCCTGCCGTCCCACCGCTCGCCAGTGAATCCACTCGCCGCTACCTCCGAGCCGATGTCGCCCTGGATCTTCTTCTCTCCTTCACCTCCCCCCTCCATCAACATCCTGGCGGCCGCTGCTGCTGCTGCTGCCAGCTCCGCGGCCCTTGCTCACTTTCAGCTGCACCAGCGTGAGCTTCAATGGCCGTAGCGCCAGCACAGCAAAAAAAACTCGTGCGCAACATGCAGCAGCAGCAGCCAGCAGGAACAAGCGAATAATGACAGCGCGACCAAGAGAAGGGGCCCGCAGGGCACGCAGAAAATGAAGCGAAGGGCTCTTGCTGCTACTTCGGCTCATCCTCCTCCTGCTCCTCCTGCTCCTCCTCCTTCTCCTGCTTCTCGTCCTCCGAGAGAGGGCCACGATAGAAGAAGAGAGAACTGCGTAAGCATGAACTTTCGGAGGTCAGTGCGGATCTAATGGATCGGCGCTGGAACCACCCTCGCTGGGGCGCGGAATGCGCCAGGTGCGGCGCACGAGGCGCAGCCGGGGGGGGGGTCCAGCGTAGATCCAAGAAGTCCGCGCAGATCTCCACATTTCAGGTTTACGCAGTACGTGATTCCTCGGCACGAGGCTTCGCCATGGCGATGAACTTGCCAGGTTTCAGGACCTTCACGCCGCACATCGCGTCCCGGGCGTGCCCCCAGGCCGACGTGTGCACCAGATGAAGTTCGCCACCTGCGGCCGACGTGCGCATGTGTGTGGGTGCTAGTGTGTGCTCGCGAGGCGCGCGCTGACCCTGGGCCTTGCGCCATCTAGCCCGACTTCCCCGCGTCGCCGCGCGCGCGGCCACGACGCTCAAAAGCGTGTGCGTGTGTGAGTGCGGCTTGGCCACCACACTTGACTTGCTTCGCCTCGTCATCGCACGCGAGGGCCGCGATGGCAACAAGTGTGTGTGTGTGTGTCTGTGCCGAAACGACTATTGAAGGCCCGGCAGCGACCGCGCGATTTGCGTTTATGCTTCCTCCGCCTCGTCGCTGCGCGCGGGACCGCTAACGCCAAAAAGTGTGCGTGTGTGTGTGTGTGTGTGTCTGCATGCGTGTGTGTGTGTGTGTGTGTTGTTTTGCGTGTGTGTGTGAAAGTGTGTGTGTGTGTGACTGCGTCTGCGCGCCAACGCTGCATGGGCTCGTCTGGCCCGCGCACGCCCGCTCGGCTTGATCTGCGCCGCGCCGCCGCGCGCGTGGCCGCGACGGCAAAACACTGCGCGGCAGTGCTCGTCTGTGTGCGTGCGTCTGCGTGCGCGCTTCCGCTTCTCCGCCCTGTCGCCGCGCGCCGGGCCGCGACGCCGACGGGCACGTTCTTCTTCCACCCCCCCGGGGCGCGGCCCCACCTCGGGCTCTGAGCAGTCCGCCTGCGGGCTGGCAGGCTGGGGCCCCCTCTGGCATGCCGCCCTCCGTCCGCGGTGCCGGGTGCAGTGCGCCCGAGGGCACCCCGTTCGTGCTCTCGAGGCAGCGACGTCACTTCGCAAGCGGAGTAACAAGTGTGCATGTTTGTGTTTGCGTGTGTGTGTGTGTGCGTGTGTGTGTGCGTGTGCGTGTGTGTGTGTGTGTGGGTGTCCCAACCGTTCTGGGTCGTGCCGCTGTGCGCATGGCCGCGACGCCAAGCGTGTGTGTGTGTGTGTGTGTGTGTGTTTGTGTGTGTGTGCGTGTGTGTATGCGTGCGTGTGGGTGTGTGTGTGTTTGTGTTTGTGTTTGCGTGCGTGCGTGCTCCTGCACTCGCGCTGTTTGCCCTTACAGCCAAGCATCCGTTCGCTCCTCTGCGGCTGCTGCGCTGTCCTGTTCCGTTCGCGCGTCTCGCACCCTGAGGCCCTCAAGTGGGCTGCGGGCAACGAGGGTCGAGCTATCTTACTCCGTCTGCATCTCTGCGTGTGCCCCGCTTACACTGGCACCTGCATGGCCTTTGGCATCTTCCACGTGCATACGCTTCGTCAGCTTTTTACTGCATGTGTCAACCACGTCCTGCCCACCCATCTGCAAGGCCAGGTGGTAGTTGGACTAAGCGCGCCCCCGCCTTAGTACACGCTGCGGAGACACCCACCAAGCCGCTGGAGGAAAAGTGTGCGTGCTCGCCCCCCTCACCACCCCCACCCACGCTCGCCTACCTGCTTTGACGTTATCCGAATTCTCCCAGCGCCCGCTGGTCCTGCACTTGCATGGCTTTACGGCTCGGTCAACCGCCGAGGCAACGGTTTTGACCACGCCTCCACCAAAGGTGTCCAATTCGTGGTGAGGGCGTCCAGCTTGGCGTCCGCCGGCTGAAAACACCGTCGCGTCGGAGGGGGAACGGTGTGTGCGTGCGTGTGCGCATGCTCCAGCTGATGGCCACGGGTGTGAGCTAGATTGCGAGGATCAGTGTGGAGAGACTTGGGATCGCGTGCAGAAAGCCATCAGCGACAGCCCAGCGCCCCCGGTGGCGATGTTGAGACCGACCCAGACCCTAGACTATTAACTGGAGGAGAACAAATCGATTTAAGCGTAAAGATTCGGAGCTTCACGTAGAGTTCTCGGGTCGGCGCTGGGACCCCCCCCTTGGCGCGCGGAGCGCGCCAGGGGCGGCGTCGGAGGCGCCGCCAGGGGGACCCAGCGCCAGATCAAGAAATCCGCACGGAACGTCGACAGTTTGTGTGTTACGCAGTTGCTTCTTCGAACTAGACTGCGTACCCTGTGGGGTTGTTAAGATCAGCCTGGACTGCCCCCGCGGGGTGTCAGTTCGCAGGCCCAGGCCGCGCCAGGCGAGCACGAGCACGCGGCCACGGACTCAACACCACCACAGACAGTCACGCTGCGGGGCAAGCCTGCGCTAGGCTATACGATGGAGGCGTTTTTTTTATCCTATCAGCCTGGGCCTTGGTCATGCACACAAATTCGCCCCACGGCCGCCCTCGCCACCCCTCCCCCAAAATGGGATCGGGGGCAGGTCGGGAACGTCCACCGTGGGCCCCCCGCGCGCCGACGATTCCCCGAGAGAGCGTGATCCACCGCCGCTTCACTGTGGAAAATTCTCCCCCTTCTCCGGAACCCGGGGGTCCCCCCCACTTCGAAAATCCCCTCCCCCCCTGCTGGAACCCCCCCCCTCCCCTCCCCCCCATTCCCCCAGCAAAACCCCCCCGCCCCTACTCCACCCCCCCTCCAGAAAACCGGGGGGGGTCACTACCAGTTCGAACCCCCCCCCGCCCCACTCCAGAAAACCAGGGGGGGTCATTACCGGTTCTAACCCCCCCACCCCCCCCATCACCGCCGGCAAACGACTCCCGGGTCCCCACCACCGTCCGCACCACATCCCCCACCGCTGTCCCCAGCACCACCGTCCCCGCCACCACTGTCCCACGCTTCCCACCACCGTCCCCACTGTCCCCACCAGTGCCCCCACCACTGTCGCACTGTCCCCACCACGGTCCCACTCTCCCCACTTCCCCCACGGTCCCCACCACTGTCCCACTGTCCCCACTCTACCCACTGCCCCACTGTCCCACTGTCCCCGCCGCTGTCCCACTGAGCTGTCCCACTGTTCCCACCACTGTCCCCACTGTCCCCACTGTCCCCACCACTGTCCCCAGTGTACCCCTGTCCCATTAGACCGTCCTCACAACCGCCCTCACCACTGTCCCCACCACCACCGTCCCCACCACTGTCCCACTGTCCCCACTGCCCCCACCACTGTCCCACAGTCCCCATTCCACTGTCCCCACCACCACCGTCCCCACCACTGTCCCACTGTTCCCACCACTGTCCCAGTGTCCCCACTGTTCCCACCACTGTCCCCGTTGTCCCCACCAATGTTTCACCGTCCCCTCTGTCCCCACTGTTGTCCCACCACGCTTCCACTCTCCCCAATATCCTCACTGCCCCACCCACTGTCACACTGTCCCCACTGTCCCCAGGCCCCGCCGCTGTTCCACTGTGCTGTCCCACTGTCCCCACTGTCCAACTACTGTCCCACTGTCCCCGCCACTCTCCCCACTGTACCACTGTCCCACCACCGTCCTCACCACCGCTTTCACCACTGTCCCCACCACTACCGTTCCCACCACTGTCCCACTGTCACCACTGTCCCCACCACTGTCCCGCTGTCCCCTCACCACTGTCCCCACCACCACCGTCCCCACCACTGTCTCACTGTTCCCACCACTGTCCCACTGTCCCCACACCAGTGTCCCCACCACCACCGTCCTCACCACTGTCCCAGTGTCCCCACCACTGTCCCACTGTCCCGAGAAGTGGGAATCGTTTGCCGGCGGCGAGGGGGGGGGGTTGAACCGGTAGTGGCCCCCCCCCCATGTCATGATGGACGGGGGGGGGGGGAGGGTGGGGTTCGAACGGGTAGTGACCCCCCCCCCGGTGTTCGAAGGGGGGGGGGCGGGATGGGAACCCCCAGTGACCCCCTCCGGTTTTCCGCCAGCAGCAGTAGAACACGCTCTTTCGAATCCTCCAGGGTCTGAAGCCTCTTGGGCACATTCCTTAATTAACCAACGCCCCACCGTAAGGCTGCCTCCCTCATGGGCGCTGGTCGCCAGCAGGGACGAGGGGAGCGGGAGGACGGTCCCAGCCCAGCACTGCCTTGAAAATGGGGCTGCCGGACGGGGACAGCTCGACGCGGCGGAATGGTGCAGAGCGGACTGACCTCTACCATCACGACACGCCGGTATGATCACGCAACGGATCATTCCGACCGTGCGACCAACCGTCCGTCCGGCCCCGCCCAGGAATGCCGCCTCCGTCGGGCCCCAGGAGGGGAGCGAAGAAGCCACCATACTTCGAAGAGCGCGCCTGGTAGGCGAATCTGGTGCCCGCGATTTTCGGTTCCGTGCATCTTGCCCCCGGGAGTCTGTGGATCTCACAGGAACTCTGCAGGGGTCCCCAGAGGTCTCCAGGATCAGGAGGGGAAAAAACACACAGACACAATTAATCGTCGACTCCCAGGAAAATATGGAAAAATATGGGAAGTGGGGGGGAAGACAAAAACCATGAAAATATATGAAAATATGGGGAATCCTGTTATCTGTGTGTATTTTTTGTGTATTTCTTGTGTGTCCCAGAGCCCCTTCACAGGAGGGTCCCCAGAGGGCTCCAGAGCTCCCTGGGAGCCCGAAGGTGTTCCGAATGCGTGCGAGGACTTCCGATCCCCGAGCGTCGGAGGCCTATAGAACATCCCCATCCTCGCCCGGATTCCTCATCGCTCGGACGTCCATTCCCTGTGTTTTTGTTTCGGTTTCGTGCGTGGTTTTTCGGCAAATGGTCAAGGATGCTCCTCGATGGTCCTCGCCGAGGAAAAAACGCACACGTCCGAGCGATGCCAGGCCTCGGCCCTCTCTTCCGCCTCGCCCCTTCCACCATACGTCTCGCTGACGCCCTCGCTGCACTGGTAGAAGCGCAGGAGCAGAGGGGCCTGGGCGCGCTCGGCGCTTGCGGAGGAGGGAGAAGGGAAGGAGGGAAGGGAAGGGACGGGGAAGGGAAGAGGCGGAGGGAGGAAGGTAAGAGGAGAAGGGAAGAAGAGGAAGGGTGAAGGGAGAAGGGAACAAGGGAGGGGAAGGAGAGAGGAAGACGAGCGAGGAAGGAGAAGGGAAGAGGAGGAGGGAGGCGGACCCGAACCTCTGAAGCCTTGAAACGAGGCGGAACCAGACTCAAACCGAGACGGAGGAAGGTCAAGAATCCAGACCCACAGCCGCTGCGAGGGGCTGCCCTTAAGCCCGGCCGCGCCCGCGCACCCGCCGCAGCCTCGCTGCGTGTGCGTTGCGGAGGCGGCAGCGGGGTCGCGCGCATGAAGGCCCGCCGCCAGCCCACCGCCGAGCCCACCGCCGAGGAGGGGGAGGAGGAGGAGGAGGAGGAGGAGGAGGAGGAGGAGGAGGAGGAGGAGGAGGAGGAGGAGGAGGAGGAGGAGGAGGAGGAGGAGGAGGAGGAGGAGGAGGGGGAGGACGGGGAGGAGGAGAAGGAGGAGGAGAGGAGGAGGGGGAGGATGAGGAGGAGGAGGAGGAGGAGGGGGAGGAGGAGGAGGAGGAGGAGGAGGAGGAGGAGGAGGAGGAGGAGGAGGAGGAGGAAGAGGAAGAGGAGGAGGAGGAGGAGGAGGAGGAGGAACGCCACCCGGGCCTCCCAGGAGAAGCCGGCCCGCACGTCGCGGGCGGCGCGCCTGCACGCGTCGCCCTCGGTCGAGGCCCCTGGACTCGTCGTAGCGCAGGTCCGTCTGCGAGATCTCGAGCGTGAGCTCGCTGTGGCGGCGGGGCCCGTGCCCCATGCTGTGGCGGGCGACGGCACGGTGACGGCACGCAGGAAGGGCGGCCCCAAGCATGCTCGCTGATAAAATGCAGAAAACGGGACGGCACAGTTTTCGCTAGTTTCGACCCCTGGGGGCCCTCGCCGGCCCCCAGGACCGTCAACAAAACGACGCAGGACGAGAACCTGGTCCTGAGGAGCGGGTCGGGGCTTCCAGGGGCCGCGTATGGAACAAATCGGACCGTCGCATGTCTGGGGCCCTATGTAGGCAGGAGGGACTATCCCAGACGTGGGACCCACAAGGGCCCAACAAGGACGGTGTGTCCTCCTCGGTGGCGCTGCGTCCGACCTGGACCTATCGCAGAACCGTTGCAGTCTATCGTTTCCCGAGCGGTATGGCCGCCAGAGGGCTAACATGTAAGGTCGGCGCACGCAGACGTTACATGTAAGGTCGGAGCTAACATGTGAGGTCGGCGGTATGGCCGCCGTTGGGGGCGGCGCACGCAGACGCTCGACCAGGATGGTGAGGACGCGCGGTAGGGGATGCGAGGGCTTTGGAACGCCATGTTGACGTTTCCCGTGCGGAGCGCAGCAGGATGCCGAAGGGTGCCGAATACCGAAGGGGCAAGGATGCAAGGGTAGCCTTGGAAAGTTGCCCCATCCGTAGTATCATGGTTGACTGTAATATCAGTATGTCTGGGTGACGCCGAAGACATGCTCGCGTAGTGAACAAATTCAGGACGCGAAATGTTTGGCCGATTGCGGCCCCTGGGAGCTCTCGCCGGGCCCAGGGGCAATCAAACAACGGCGCGGGATGAGACGCCGGCCCTGGGGAAGGGGTCGGGACTTCTGGGGACTGCATGTTGAGCACAAACGAGACTTCGCATGTCTGGGACTGTTGGTTGTGCGGCTTCGATGGGCCGAGGTGGTGCCCAAGCCAGGCGCCAAGCGGGGGCGGTCATCAATTTCTGCTGGCCCGCAGCGGCAAGAGGCTGCCCCGCAACGGCAAGAGGCCCCCCGCGGTCAAAGGTACGGCGGGCTGCGCTCAAGGAGCTGCGCCTGCACGGCGGTCATCAGCACGGAGAACCCAGACCCCCCGACGTCAGCATGTTTCCCAACGTCGATCCCTGAGAGGTCTCGGCCCATTCCCTGGGGCTGGTTTTTCGTCCTGAGTCGTGTTCTGACGGTCCCGGGGCCCAGCGAGGGCCCCCAAAGGCTGGGAGTAGGGACAAAAACCGTCCGTGGTGTTTTTGCTCGCGACGCGAGGGGGCCTTGGAAAGCATCTGCGCAACGCCGCTGGGCCCTCTTGATATGAGGTGCGCACCGCCGAGGCCAAGGCCAGGAGGGTCCACGCAACGCGCCAGGGCCCAGGATGGCCAGGGGTCAGGCCTGGCGATGGTGTACACATCCCTTCTGCGGAATCAGGAGACTGATTTTCTTTGGACTCGGGAAGGCATTTTACTTAGAGGGGCACTGCGGGCCCAGACCCCTCGGCTCGCCTAAAAAACATGGCGGGAGTTCATGCTGCTATTTTCGGCCTCTGGGGACTCCCATGCGCATTGCGGGGCCCATGTGCCCCAGGAAACCTTTCTGGGACTTGTGGGGCTCATGGGGCTTGAATTCATCGGCGCGGGACACGCGAGCCCGAAGACATGGGCAACGGCATTAAACAGAGGCTTCATTGTTTGTCGAAAGGGGATCTTGGTGTTGGTGTCGGGTTCCACCGCGCCGAGAAGAATGCACTTAACAGAGGGCTGGGTCGATCCCTCACACGCCTGGATGGATCGCAATAGTCTGAAGATCTGGTATTGTGCTGCATGCTGCTCTTTCGGTCAGGCCCAGCTCTGGGGCTTAGGCAAAGCGTGAACGTTACCGATCTCCAAGGCCCGACGAGAATATCTCGATCGGACTTCCAGGGGCTTGCACCCGAAAGCTGGCGCCTGAGTTCAGCCTTTGTATCTCTACGCGATGGCGGAAATTCTTGAAATCCTCCCCCACTTCCTGCAGGCCCCCCGCCCTGTCGAGGACAGCCGCAGCCTCCCATGCCCACCCCCATGAGGAGGCATTGCGGCGGGTCCTTGGCACCTCCTTGATGTCGAACAGAAAGGAGGGGGCCGTCCTCGGCTCTTCTTGAGCAGGCGGGCGAGCGAGGGGGGAGGCGGATCGCGGATCGCGCGGAGGCCGCGCCCTCGCCCCCGACCCTCAGAGGATCAATGGCAGCCCCCCTGGGGACCCCTCAGGAGGTTCAGGATCGGGAGTGGAAGTAGAACGCAACATCGCAGGATCCTCCTCCTCCACCTCGAGTGTGCGATGTGTTTGGATGTTGTTTTTGGACCCCTGGGGGTTTCCAATGGCCACTAAAGACGGTCCGAGTGGCCCTCTCACTCAAGACCCTTTCAGCTCAACCGCGAGAAGATCGAACCCACTGCGTGACAGCTGCACGGACGGAGGGGGCGGCACCTTTGCAGCATGGGCACTGGTTTGACGTGCCCTCCAGCTTGGGAGCTCCAGTGTGGGCATGTGGCACGCCTGCGTGGCTGGGGGGCGGGGGTCCGTTTCAGAGCGGGATTCTCGCTGGACCGCCCGTCTGATCTTATGACTGGGCCTGTCCTTGGCGGTGCGCACAACGGGGTGGGGGGGGGGGGGGGGGCTTCTTAGAAGGAGGCTGCCTCTTCGTCGGAGGCGCCGGCCTTACGTCTGTAGATAAGGCCCGCGCCTTCTAAGGAGCAGGGGTGCTTTCAAGGAGCCCTCCCCCCTCCCCCAAACCCCCCTCCCCCCTCTGCGCGTGGCTGATGCTCTTGCGTTCTACACTGCTTGGCGGATGCAGTGCACCTGCTCTCTGGAAGGGCACCACGCCCGACCTGCAGGCCCGCAGGGTGGTTAGTCCTTCGAAGGGGGGGCCCGGCACATTGCGGAGGTCATTGTCATCCAGGGTCCCCCCAGGAAGCTTCCAGGTTGAGCGGGCCGCCCCTCTGGGCGAGAATGGGCGCCCTTTCTTCAAAGTTCGGCACTCCTTCGGTGCAGAAGTGTTTGGACTTCGGAGGGGCGGGAGGGTGTAATGCTGCCTCCTCCTTCTAGGCCTTCGGGGGCCCCCCTCGTCGCCATGGGACGCGGGGATCGAACTGGAGAACTGGTCAGAGTGGAACGTGCCTGGGCAGGATCTGTGAAGGGAGGAGGTGGGCTTAGAGTGTCAGTGTTGCTTCTGACAGAATTTACAGTGTTTATGCGAGGCCCTGAAGGCGTGTGGTGTAGGGGAATGGGGGGGAGAAACAGGAGGCGCAGCAGAGGGGGGAAGGGAAAGGATTAGAGGAGGGGGGGGAGAGGGCGAAGAAGAAGGAGGAGGAGAATCCAGGCGGAGCAGGAGGAAGAGAAGGAGGAAGAGGAGGGTGAGCATGAGGCACAAGACGAGGAGCGAGCGGACCCCGGGACGTCAGCAGGACGAGGGGGAGAGGACGCCAGAAAGCAGGACGAAAGGGGGTCGGCAAGAGGACGCGGAGTGGCTGTGGTCCCGTGCGCAGATGATCGAAACACCCACCCCGAGAGAAGCCGAGGAGACCTTCAGTGAGGAGCTGCGTGCTCCCCCGAGCCAGGTCGAGACACTCCACGAGAGTCTACGCCGAGGCTCTTCTGAGCCAAGCGCGATGCAGCATTATGTACATAGACGCTTTGACTGCAAGTCACCATCTTGTGTCGCTCGTCGAGATCGCTCGTCTAGAGGATGGGATACATGGGCAACATGGGCATAATTATCGAAGGCCTCGAGCCTGGATTCCTCAGCCGAAACCCCATGTAGACAGAGCGGCTCGCGAGGATGACACCTGCGGAACGTATCCATCTGACAGCGTATCCATGGGATCGTGCCTCCTGTGGGATCGCGCCTCGCAATCGAACCACGAGGACATTGGTCCATGTTCGTAGGTCGTGGGTCACACACCGAATCGCAGCAAAGAGGCAGTGGCGTGACGGGGCCGCGTGCGACTGAATACCAAGCAACCCGCTGGCGTCAAAGCAAATCCCGTTGCGCTTGAGTCGGAATCTCGAGGCCGATCGACAGAAGAGCTGATCGGAGTCTGGACTGGAGCTCGCATCAATGCTGAACAGCCTGGAAAAGCCTGATCGGGTCTGATGGGAGCCCGTGCCCGCTAAGGGTATATCTCGCTGAAGACGTCGCCCTGGTATGCCCACATCTCCTCGAACCAGGGGTAGCCAACGACCCATCCAGGACTGTAGGGTATGCCCGTCTGAGGCGGCACGGAAGCGAATGAGAAAGAGTTGAGGGAAACCAAGAGTACGAGGAGGCCATGGAGGTCGAGGAGCCTGTGAATGGGGACATGCATGAACAGGCAGACGACGAATAGAAAGATGAAGAGGGTAGCAGGTGAACAGCGTGAGCCCGGATATACGAGGCTGTGAACGCCGAGCTTTCCATCGCAAGTCTGAGACATGGCTTACCACAATCTTGGAGTATGGGTACCGCTGCACTCCACTCGCACGCGCATGCGTGATACATGACAACGTTGCCGACGTTGTCGAGCGGTTGCCCTCTTCCCTCCAATTGCTGACAAGGCCGACGAGGAGCTACAGAAACCATCAGGCTCAAGCAGGGGACCAGATGATGACGCCATCCCCAATCCACGGACTAAAAGCTTGCGCATCGTGGCTGCATGCTTATCTGATTTGCCCTAAACGGCTGGGAAATATGCGATGCACGATGCACGTTCAGGCTTGCATTTCTCATATCTATATACCAGCAACAGAAAGACGGACGAGGATGATGACTGCAACTGCGAAGAGGAGGAGGAGGAGAAGGAGGAGGAGAAAGAGACACGTGAGGAATATAATGGGAGCAGATATGCACGATTATAACTAATAGCTGGAGCATGAGCAAGGACACAACAGTGGAAGGATGAGTGACATGAGCATGGGCAGGGAGGAGACAGAGACGAGGCATGATAGGCACTAAAGAAAAAACGGCAATGGAGTCGGAGGGAAGCAATGACGGTGAGGATGGTCGAATGAGATGCAAAGGGGCACATGCGGAGGAAACAGACGAGAAACAAGAGGGCGAGGATAATGTGGTGGAGGTTGACGAGGAATATTAGGAGTAAGGGGAGACAGCGAAGAGTATAAAAAGTGAGAAAGACGAGGAACACCATGATGAGTAGGCTGTGACTGGAGAGGATTTGATAATGGGGAAAATGAGGGCGGGGAGGGAGAAGTATGATAAGACATAATTATGGTGAGGACGACGTGCAACGCGTAGTCAGGGGAAAACGGGGAAAGAGCGGATGATATTGATGAGGATGACGAGCGAGACTACGAGGAGGCATGGCACCGATACCAGTGACGAGACTCACTGCGGGAGGAAGCAGGAAATGGACATGAGGAAGGAGGGGAGGGCTGGGTGAGTGGCCAGGGAGGGAAGGAAGGAGGAAATCCGCCCACCCCCGCTGGCCCGGGGTGAGCAGGCGCGCGAAATGTTTGGTTGTACCCCTCCCCTTCCTCCTCCTCCTCCTCCTCCTCCTCCTCCTTCTTCTTCTTCTTCTTCCTCCTCCTCCTCCTCCTCCTCCTCCTCCACCTCCACCTCCACCTCCACCTCCTCCTCCTCCTCCTCCTACTCCTCCTCCTCCTCCTCCCTCCTCCTCCTCCTCCTCCTCCTCTCCTCCTCCTCCTCCTCCTCCTCCTCCTCCTCCTCCTCCTCCTCCCCTTCCCCCCTCGTGGGCCCGCCGCCACCCTGCAGCTCGCCAGCGTGGGCGCCTCTGCCAGCTGGGCCGGCGGCAAGCTCGTCACCGACTTCGCCGGCGTGGCCATCCGCCAGCGGGGCCCACGGGGCGCGCGGGCGCCGCCGCCCCACAGGGGCCGCCCGCAGAGCTGGTCGTCGGCGGGGCCCGCTGTCGGGCGCCCAGGCCAGCAGCGCCGGGGGCCACCGGCTCCCACCCGGCAGCCGGACCCACTGCCAGACTGTACCAGGATGAGGTCGGGCGTGTCCCCCTGCAGGCGGGTGGTGGGCGGAAGATGAGAAGTAGCCAAAAAATGCTCCCCAAAGGCTCAAACATAGTCTAGCAGTCGTCCCCCGACTATTTTTTTCTTACTATTTTGGAATATCCCTCCTGTAGAGGGAGAGGGCCGACTTGATACCAGGGGGGGGCGCGCGTCGCCCCCCCGGCGGGCCAGCCCGAGAGGCGGCGCCCGCTGGCCGAGGGCACTCTTGGAAAAAGGGCGCGCGTCGGCGCCCCCGGGCCCCGTTTTCGTGGATGCCACGGGCCGTGGGCGCCTCCGCCGCTCTGTCGCTGAAGTGAGCACGTCTTCAAGATGTCTGCGAGCTGTCGCAAAGACATGGTCGAAGCATGCTCAGAGCACGCATCAGCACTGCAGTGCAGCATGTATGATACATCTCTTGGACACCTGGAGAGAATGTGGCAATATGCCTCCGCTCCATCCGTCGTCATCCACAAGACCATTTGACACTTGCGCCCACTGTAGAACGGCGCCCCAAGACAGCACCGCTCGCGCCGGTGGTCCGCCGTTGGCCAGTGCCGCTCTACTGCCGAATCCGCGCGGGCAAGAGGCGCGGAGGCTCCGCTGCCAGCCTGTGGCACACCCCCGAGGCGCGACGTCGCCCAGCCCACTGAGCAAACGGCTGGCGCCGCCTGAGCTCTCCTCCTCCTCCTCCTCCTCCTCCTCCTCCTCCTCCTCCTCCTGTCCACACCGGCCGCTCACTCCGAGAAGCTCCCAAGTTCGACCTCTCTCCGACGGATCTGGTGCCCACGGCAGCGAGCCGAGCACGCGCGCGCGCCCGAGGCCCCCCGCGGCACCGCGCCCCACGTGGTGACGGCGCTCCCGCACGGGGGCCCTCGGGGCCTCAACTCCTGCTCGGACGCCCCCCGCGACTTCGATGTGCGATGGTAGCTCTGCGACGGGCCTCCGGCCGAAAGTCGGACCGGCGCGCGTGAGCGAGTGGGGAGACGCGTGCGTGCTGCAGGGCCTCTCAGAGGCGGGCCTGCCCGCGTCCTCCCCACCAGGCCGGGGAGCCTCCCCCCAAAAAACAGGCAGCCTGCTGCGAGGAGCCCAGCGCAGCACCGGGGAGGGACTCTCTCTCTCAACATTGGGGGGGGGATCATAGTGCAACCCATCGGGCTCCTCGGAGGCATGCCCCAAAACACCCAGCGTTTGCAACAGCTCCCCCCAGAACACAACGTGACCATTGAGTACAAAATCCCCCCCAAACGTACAGGGCAGGTTTTAATACATATGATGTTGTTTAATAAAAAACATGTGATTGTTTAATACAATATTAATGTATGAATAAACGAATGCATAAACGCATCCTTGTATTTGTTAATCAACCCTTTATCTTTAATACATGGTCCGCACGCGGAGCATGTATATTGATATATATATATATATAGGAAAAAAGCGGCACTGTAACGTGACAACCGAGGCGTGCCCGAGAACGCAGCGGGGGGCCTTTTTGTCCAGGCCCAGTTCGGAGAGGCTCTCCGGGGCGACTCCCCAAACGCGCTCTCCTGAAGCGCTTCTCCCCTGACGCACTGCCGACGCACCTCAAGCGCGGCCTACGCGCACCATCGGAAAAGGACCACACGCCCAACACGCCCAAGAGAAACGCTGCCGTTGGTCACGGAATGTTAAGTTGAGGTTGTTGTTGGAATTGTTACGGACATCAGAGCATTCTGCCACGGGCGGGGGACATCGACTGACGAATGCAGAATGAAAGAAAGAGGGCTGTCTCAGAGATGGGGAAGCAGACGCCGCCTTCGACGCCCCGAAGGGGAACCAGACGCGCGGGGTGGCGCGCTGGCTGCGTAGAAGGGGGCTCCCTGCCCCCAGCGAAACGGCAAGCAGCCGCCCAGGCAGGCGTGCAACAATGGGACCAGCTGCAACGACGGACTGCGTGGCGCATCGCCACCAAGCGACACACCGTTCCAACTGGCTCCCAACGCAAGAAAGCGCTGCCTGTCGATGAGAGCCACTCCAGGGACGCGCCCTCCCCCCACCCACCCCGAAAAAAACGCGGCAACATGTGTCTGTGTTCCTGTCCTGCGGGTCGCGCGCAGCGTTTGGGCGGGTAACGAGGCGACGGGGGAGCAAACGATGCCTCAGACGGGACTGGAACCGACACGCGAAAACTGAACACGCTTCAGCCGCAATCCGCAAGATGCGTGAACCAAAATTGCAACCCAAAAGGGAAGGAAAGAGGAGGAGAGAGGGACATGACTGTGCCCCCATCGTACTGCACGCGCTACGTACTTTGTGCGTGCTCATTTCACATACTCTTTGTTCGCAGATCGTGGATGCAAGCATTGTCGGACGATTTGGCGTTCCTGGTTTCACGTGCGGGATCTTTTGCCAAATCCGAAGCCCAGCCAATCGTTAGGTGAATCGATGAAGTTCTCACACAACCCAAACGGTTTAGAGCCTGTTTGGCTGCTGCGAAGGAGAGCGAGCGTGAGGTGAGAAGCCCACAATCACGGGCGACAGCCCGCCGCATGGCTGAGGTCCGTCAGGTCTTCGCTTGCCAGGACTGCTCCTGCACGTGCGCGTCCGGGCAGCAGCTGGCAACCCTGCCTTCACCGCGCACGGCGCCCAGCGCCGCGCGCGTGAGCGAACTGGCGTGGTGCATTGGCCCGTGCGCACGCAGTGTTTCCACACCCGCGCGAGAGCCACCACTCCTCCTGAGGAGCGTTCCCGAGAGGCGTCGCGGTGTCGTGACGCAGTGCTTCCCACGATTGCCAAATGCCGTCGCGGCGGACCACGACGGGCGGGGCGCGGAGGCCGCCAGAGGCCGCGCAGGGCAGGGCCGGAGACCGGACCGTGCGGACGCCCCCGCCTGCCGG